AAAGTATAAAAATGAGCTGCAATTTTTCAATAAAAGAAACTGCTGTTCCAATTGTGTCCACTGGATAGCGCAATAGCAATTGTGTTAAGCAAGCAAACTGTTTATACCGGGGCAGAGCAAATAGGTCAAGCAAGTGCAGCCAGTCCGGATGAGCTACTTTGTTTTGCCCGCGATATTTATTACGGCTTCTACTTTTAACATTATGAGCTTTGCACCCTCATTGCCCCAATATGTCTCTGTCAAAAAAGAGAAAAGTGGACGCAGAGTGCAGAGTGTTCCAAGAAAAATTGTCATCCTTCTATTTATTCACGGAATTGAATGGGAAAGCTGTATGTTTGGTGTGTTCACAGCATGTTGCAGTTCTGAAAGAATATAACCTTCGTCGCCACTATGTGAGTCTTCATGCCGACAAATATGACAACTTTCAAGGACAGCGGAGAAGAGAGAAGGTGAATGAACTGTTGGCGGGTCTGAAGAAACAGCAGTCTGTGTTTACTCACAGCCGAGACATCAGTGACGCTGCAAGTGAAAGCTAGCTACCTCATTGCTAATGAAATCGCAGTGGCTTCAAAACCATTTAGTGAGGGTGAATTTGTAAAAACATGCATGATGAAGGCAGCGGAGATTGTGTGCCCTGAAAAGCACCAGGCTTTTGCAAATATCAGCCTGACAAGAAACACAGTTGCAGACAGGATTTCCGATCTTTCAGTGGATTTGGACAGCCAGTTGAAGCAAAAAGTAAAGTAATTTATTGCGTTTTCGGTTGCAATTGATGAAAGCACGGACATTACAGATGTTGCACAACTGGCCATTTTCATCCGCAGAGTTGATGACACATTGACCGTGGAGTTGGTGCCGATGACAGATGATATTTTCACTGCACTCGTCAGCGCGCTGGACAGGGTCGGAGTGGACTGGTCCCGCGCTGTCAGCCTGGCTACAGATGGTGCGCCCTCAATGATCGGGAAAAAAGCAGGCGTTGTGACAAAGTTCAGAGAGAAAGTGCAATCTGCAAATGGAGGACGTGATTTTTGGACTTTTCACTGTATTTTGCACCAGGAGGCTTTGTGTTGCAAGTCATTAAAGATGGATAACGTCATGAAGGTGGTTATTATTTTTATTATATTATTATTATATTATTATATTATATTATTATTATATTATTATTATTATATTATCCAAACTATTAATTTCATCCGATCCAGAAGCCTGAATCAACGTCAGTTTGACAGCCTTCTCAGAGAGAAAGACCACATCTATGGCCTGCCATACCACACTGAGGTAAGATGGTTAAGCCGAGGTGCTGTGCTGAGGCGTTTCTTTGATTTTCGAGAAGAAATTGAACAGTTCATGGAAGAAAAGGGCAAACCAGTGTTAGAATTTCATTCCGCAGAATGGATGCAGGACCTTGCATTTATGGTGGATGTTACAGAGCACCTGAATAACTTGAACAAACAGCTGCAAGGGTGCAACAAAGTTGCCACGCAGTATTATGACAGCATACGTTCTTTCAAGTTGAAGCTGTCATTGTGGGAGACGCAACTCGCCGGTGGTGATGCAGCTCACTTCCCCTGTCTGAAAAATGTGTGCGCGACCCAACATGTGGCAGACATGAAGCGGTTCAAAGATAAAATAACGGGACTGTTAAGGGAGTTTGAGCAACGCTTTCAGATTTTTGGTGAACTGGAGAAAGACTTCAACGTTTTTTGTTCGCCATTAACCGTGAATCCCTCTGATCTGCCCGTCAGCATCCAACTTGAAATAATAGACTTGCAGTGTGACTCGGATTTGAAGGGCAAATTTGCTGCAGCTGGCTTGGACACATTTTATCAGAATCTCTTGCCAGGTTACCCCAACTTGACAGCCCTCGCTGCAAAACTGTTGTGCATGTTTGGAACCACATATCTTTGTGAGCAAGTTCTCTGTAATGAGCATAAATAAAACAAATCTGCGCTCAAGGCTCACGCACAAGCACTTGAATCACATCCTGAAGTTGGCTGCCACTCAGGATGTGACGCCTGATATTGATGCGCTGGTGAAAGCTAAAAGATGCCAGGTATCAGGAGTCAAATAAACTATGCAACCCCACTTAAAGTGCTGCATGAGACACCCTGATATAGTTCTGTGATCTGTGATATACTTCTGTGAATCACTGAGGCATTGTGTGTTTGTGTGTTGTTTGTCCTCAGAATTTCAAATAACTTGAGGTGTTTTATGATTAATAGTGATGTTGTGCTGTTGGACACACTGTCCTCAGGCTCCAGCTTTATGTTTATATGTTTTTATGTTGATGTGCTATTGTTTTTAATTGATTTTAATTTATTTGTATATTTAACCTATTCTTGACTCTGTGGTTCTTGCACTTGTTGGGGGAACAGGATTTCATTATTTGTATCTACATTTCTGCCTGAGAAATGACACCCTGATATAGTTCTGTGATCTGTGAAACAGTTCTGTGAATCACTGAGGCATTGTGTGTTTGTGTGTTCTTTTTCTTTAGAATTTTCAAATAAACTTGAGGTGTTTTATGATTAATAGTGATGTTGTGCTTGTACTATTTTGGACACACTGTCCTCAGGCTCCAGCTTTATGTTTTATGTTGATAGTATTAAAACAAAGAAAACAATCTGAAGTTGTTGTTTTTAAGTTATATATACCATGATTTTACCGGTCCGGCCCACTTGGGAATAGATTTTCCTCCATGTGGCCCCTGAGCTAAAATGAGTTTGACACCCCTGCTTTAGCCATTCCTGGACCTGTGTCCAAAAACAAGCTACAAATGGACAGTACCAAAACAAATGATCTAATGATTCTGTCTCTTCGCAGCTAAATCTGCAGATCTGGGAAGATTGTATCCCCCATATAAATAACATTCTATTGGTAGCAAGAATTTTATATAATCATTTAAATTGAAAAATTCTACGTTTTGAATCCGGCGTCGTTTTGCGTATCAGTTCATAAACACTATGCCATGGAATCGGTACGTCAAAAATCTCTTCGCAACTATTTTGCAATCTATATGGGACGGCTGTCAATCCTTTGGTCCTTAAATGAAACTGGTATACTTTTTTATTTATCCCAGTTTTCTTTAACCAATTATGTTCTTTAATGCAAGGCCGATAGACAAGTTCCTTACTTTTTCCCCCTTCCACTTTCATCTTCCATTTTTGTGGTAATGCTGCAATTATTTGGTTGTAATTTTGTGTAGAGCAGACATTTCCATATGTTTTTGTTAGCTGCATGTGCGACATAACTCCACCAGTCCTTCCGATAATATAATTTACGAAGATTATACCTTTTTAAAACATTTTATCAAATATGGTAAAGAACTTGGTCAGCCATGGTCAGCCAGTGCTGTGATAAAATATTGTGTAAGATTATCTGTACATTATGTTTATTAGCTAGCTAGTCAGGCAGTTTTAGTTGAATGATTCCATACATTTTTCAAATTAACTGTCAATATGCCAACATTCCATACAAACAATGCAGTCAATCCACAGCCATACACTGTCTGAAATCAGTTGATGATAGGATTTAGACAAGTTGTAAATGCAACAAGTAGGCTACTGATATTGTATCATATTGTAACACTCACAGCTTTCCAAGAAAACAAACACTGAGACATCTATGGTCTGTTTACATATATTTTAGAGGCTATTTATACAGAACACTGGTAGGCTATAAAACCTGTATAAATGTATTTATAATTATTTGACAATATTTTGGGGCGACAATATTTTATTACACAATTTCAGATAAACAGTATCACTTGCCTTACTTTTATTTTCCTGAATAAGTAAAAGCAGGAAATGCATTACCTATTCTCTTACTGCCATTAATTCCAATTAGACTGGTTTGGATTTCTCCCTGACCAAAATGGCTGCCATTATCATACCATTCTGGAACTTTGAGGGTTCATGGCATAGCCCCTTTAGTAATTAAATAGGATCTCTATGGTGAAACAATTGTAGTGATTGTGGGTGAGAAATAGGAGGACAGTAAATTAAAGTAGAAATGCTTTTGAAAAATGCATTCCTAATTGAGATTTGGGGGATATTCAAGTGTTCAAGATAGCCTAGGTGATAAAGCTTAATTAGATAACTTGATTATCTAACAACGACCTATTGTTGCTCTCTATTGTTGCTCTCTATAGAGAAGATGGAGAGGAATTTAGCATGTGAACTTACTCTTCCTTGGAGAGGAACTTAGCATGTGAACTTACTCTTCCTTATGTGCAACTTGGTGAATATATGGGTAAAATCCCAAATAACTTTGAAGAACAATACAGTATTATTTGTTTTGATTTAATTACAGATAGAGTTAATGATAATAATTCACAATAGACTAGTTTGGGAATAGAACTCAAGGTCCTGTTACTTGTAGAATGCTAACTATGAAAGGAACATAATACAGTGTTTAGTATAACTAGAAAAATGTCAACACAAACAGTATCTATGGTTAACCATTGATACTCCTAGACTGTATGGATGAGAGATCTACATGCTTTCAGAAGCCTCCGGAACCAGAACCTAAAATTGAAAAACAGTCAAATATTGACACATAGGCTATGATTTGTTTCACACAGACTTTTACACAACGTCTAGGTATTTGCTAGCACAAACTTTTTGACAGATTTCTGCTTAAAGCCACTCACATCTGCTGATTACTTTTTTAAAGGATGAATGTTCTGTTGTGTGTATCGGGGGTTGGCATAAGTGTTAATATTCAACGACATTGCACACAATCAATCAAACATTTATTTTGGGGTACAATTAGGATTGAAGACCTCAAAAGTTGGATATGAATTGAATCTGACCCACTGGAATGAGGATGTAACTTACCCTGGGTCCATGAAGAGGTGAATGGCTGGATGCCTCCAGAAGGACCTGAATATTCAGTTACATTTATTAGCTTGGAGTTACAGTGGTGATGTTAGTACTGTTACCAACATAGACAAATCATGATATCTAAACTTCATGTCAACAAACAGTAATCTTACCAGTGCAGGTAACTCCTGCATCTTCATGGTGGACACAGTTATGGTTCCCTAGTCCACTGTGGGGACACTGCAGCAAAGAGTCTTCAGAGCCAGAACAGGCCAGGTCATCCAGAGATATGGAGCCACTTCCTTCTCCAAACTCTGCAGATCTAAAGGCCTCTTGAGCTTCTCCACAGCCCAACTCTCTGCACACCACCTGGGCATCCATCTGATCCCACCAATCATCACACACTGTACCCCACTGGCCAAAGTGGAACACCTCCACTCTACCAGAGCAGTTGTTGGAGCCATTGACCAGACGCACTCTAGAAGTGCCATCTGTAAAAGACAAGAAAAACTGTGAAGATGAACCGATACTGGAATGGTTGTTGAGTTGAAAACTTTGTAGATGGAATATGTTTTTGTTAGCTGCATGTGCGACATAACTCCACCAGTCCTTCCGATAATATAATTTACGAAGATTATACCTTTTTTAAACATTTTGTCAAAAATGGTAAAGAACTTGGTCAGCCATGGTCAGCCAGTGCTGTGATAAAATATTGTGTAAGATTATCTGCACATTATGTTTATTAGCTAGCTAGTCAGGCAGTTTTAGTTGAATGATTCCATACATTTTTCAAATTAACTGTCAATATGCCAACATTCCATACAAACAATGCAGTCAATCCACAGCCATACACTGTCTGAAATCAGTTGATGATAGGATTTAGACAAGTTGTAAATGCAACAAGTAGGCTACTGATATTGTATCATATTGTAACACTCACAGCTTTCCAAGAAAACAAACACTGAGACATCTATGGTCTGTTTACATATATTTTAGAGGCTATTTATACAGAACACTGGTAGGCTATAAAACCTGTATAAATGTATTTATAATTATTTGACAATATTTTGGGGCGACAATATTTTATTACACAATTTCAGATAAACAGTATCACTTGCCTTACTTTTATTTTCCTGAATAAGTAAAAGCAGGAAATGCATTACCTATGCTCTTAGTGCCATTAATTCCAATTAGACTGGTTTGGATTTCTCCCTGACCAAAATGGCTGCCATTATCATACCATTCTGGAACTTTGAGGGTTCATGGCATAGCCCCTTTAGTAATTAAATAGGATCTCTATGGTGAAACAATTGTAGTGATTGTGGGTGAGAAATAGGAGGACAGTAAATTAAAGTAGAAATGCTTTTGAAAAATGCATTCCTAATTGAGATTTGGGGGATATTCAAGTGTTCAAGATAGCCTAGGTGATAAAGCTTAATTAGATAACTTGATTATCTAACAACGACCTATTGTTGCTCTCTATTGATAGAGAAGATGGAGAGGAACTTAGCATGTGAACTTACTCTTCCTTATGTGCAACTTGGTGAATATATGGGTAAAATCCCAAATAACTTTGAAGAACAATACAGTATTATTTGTTTTGATTTAATTACAGATAGAGTTAATGATAATAATTCACAATAGACTAGTTTGGGAATAGAACTCAAGGTCCTGTTACTTGTAGAATGCTAACTATGAAAGGAACATAATACAGTGTTTAGTATAACTAGAAAAATGTCAACACAAACAGTATCTATGGTTAACCATTGATACTCCTAGACTGTATGGATGAGAGATCTACATGCTTTCAGAAGCCTCCGGAACCAGAACCTAAAATTGAAAAACAGTCAAATATTGACACATAGGCTATGATTTGTTTCACACAGACTTTTACACAACGTCTAGGTATTTGCTAGCACAAACTTTTTGACAGATTTCTGCTTAAAGCCACTCACATCTGCTGATTACTTTTTTAAAGGATGAATGTTCTGTTGTGTATATCGGGGGTTGGCATAAGTGTTAATATTCAACGACATTGCACACAATCAATCAAACATTTATTTTGGGGTACAATTAGGATTGAAGACCTCAAAAGTTGGATATGAATTGAATCTGACCCACTGGAATGAGGATGTAACTTACCCTGGGTCCATGAAGAGGTGAATGGCTGGATGCCTCCAGAAGGACCTGAATATTCAGTTACATTTATTAGCTTGGAGTTACAGTGGTGATGTTAGTACTGTTACCAACATAGACAAATCATGATATCTAAACTTCATGTCAACAAACAGTAATCTTACCAGTGCAGGTAACTCCTGCATCTTCATGGTGGACACAGTTATGGTTCCCTAGTCCACTGTGGGGACACTGCAGCAAAGAGTCTTCAGAGCCAGAACAGGCCAGGTCATCCAGAGATATGGAGCCACTTCCTTCTCCAAACTCTGCAGATCTAAAGGCCTCTTGAGCTTCTCCACAGCCCAACTCTCTGCACACCACCTGGGCATCCATCTGATCCCACCAATCATCACACACTGTACCCCACTGGCCAAAGTGGAACACCTCCACTCTACCAGAGCAGTTGTTGGAGCCATTGACCAGACGCACTCTAGAAGTGCCATCTGTAAAATACAAGAAAAACTGTGAAGATGAACCGATACTGGAATGGTTGTTGAGTTGAAAACTTTGTAGATGGAATATGAAGAGAATACATTACTGTAGGTCAATGTAGAGTTTGGCTGGATGTTTTCTGTAGGACCTGTAAACAAAGATAACTGTGAACTCCATTTACTAAGTGTTGTGATCAGAAATTAGGTGCTTCCCTGTTATGATTTATTTAGCAACAAACAGGTTAACGAACAACACTGAGGTGTGCGCATGTTTCATACATCTTACATTGGTTTTGCGTATAGCATAGCTCTATAAAAGCAAAGGCAAAAGTCGGCAACCTTGCCTGGTTCCTCTGCTCTGAAGGAATTGTTTTAATAGGACATCATTAGTGAATATGGCATTTGTTTTTTCATAAATGGTTTTGATCCAGTTAATAAAGTAAGACCCCATATTAGGACAACACTGAGTTAAATGGCTGGATGTCTCCAGAAGGACCTGTCATAGAATTAGGGTTTCCATCTAGTACTGTTAACAACATAGACAATATCATGATGTCTAAGCTTCATTCCACCAAACATTTATCTGATCAGTGCAGGTGACTCCTGCATCTTCATAGTGGGCACAGTTATAGTTCCCCAGTCCACTGTGGGGACACTTCAGCAAAGAGTCTTCAGAGCCAGAACAGGCCAGGACATCCAGAGAGATGGAGCCACTGCCCTCTCTAAACCTGTCAGATCCAAAGGCCTCTAGAGCTTCTCCAAAGCCCAACTCTCTGCACACCACCTGGGCATCCATCTGATCCCAGTCATCATCACACACTGTACCCCATTTGCCAGAGTGGAACACCTCCACTCTACCAGAGCAGTTGTTGGGGCCGTTGACTAGATGTACTTCAAAGATGCCATCTTCATGGTAAAGGTAACACATATATTTACTTGTCTTTGACTACGTTTACATGCACACAATACTAAGATTAATATAATAGTTTGATTGAAATGTTTACATGCTTTGCAAGAAGAATGATCACCCTTACAATCCGGCTTATTTGGGTACATCTGATAATCAGGCTACCTGATGGGACTTTGGAAAATGCAGAAAATCGGCAATCAAAATAAAAGTTATATCACAGTGACCATATTATTTTTGATCTGAGTTTGGACATATAAAGTTTGTAAGTAAAAACTATTTCTAAGATGCATACTTTCATATTTTCTGAACTTACTTTACTCATGCCAAAAAGCGAGGCTGGCGCTGCTCGTGATAGCACATGCGCAGATCAAATACACCGCAGGTACCGTGACAACCTTATTTTCCCCAACCTTTCTTACCTGCACAGATTACTCCTGCATCCTCATTATGGTCACAGTTGTGTACCCCTGGTTCACTTCCGCTGCAGTTTTGTAATGATCTCTCTGTGCCCTCACATGACACGTCGTCCAGACTGATGGTCCTGAGCCCTGACCAAAACAGGCTCTACCTGGGGCTTCCTGGGCCATCCCACAAGCCAATGCTTGACACACCACCTGGGCATCCCTCAGATCCCAGTCATCATCACACACTATATCCCAATGGCCAGAGTGGAACACCTCCACTCTACCAGAGCAGTTGTTGGAGCCAGCGGCCAAGCGAATTGGGCCAAGCGAATTGAAGGTCCAGCTTTGATAGGTAAATAATCTGTTTTAATGTTAACCAATTGACGCATCAGGCTGTGGAGATTATTGTGTAGTGTGCAGACATATTAATGTACTGTCACGGATTCTGCCGAGGCTGCTCCTCCTCCTGGTTCGGGCAGGCTTCGGCGTTCGTCGTCCCCGGAGTACTAGCTGCCACCGTTGAATGTTTCTATGTTTGATTGCTTTTGTCTGTCTGTTACACCTGTGTCCGTTTGTGTCTGATTACGTGTTCTATAAGTTGCCTGTGTTGTTCTGGTTAGGTTGTGTGTTGTTTTTCGCCTGTCCGTAGTGCTGCGTGTTTTTTCTCTGTTTTGTTGTTTTATTGTTTTACGCATGGTTTGCGTAATAGCTCGCCTCTGTTTTGTTTGAGGCCGATCGTTGTATCTTTGCCTTGAAGTTCACAAGTATACTTTGTTGGACTAAGCTTCGGTGTCCTGCGCCTGACTCCCACACCACATACACCTCAGCCTTGATATGTACTCACTCTGATGTGAACCTGCAGTCCATTGGGAGGAACATGAAAAACAAAGAGTTGTTGCATATACTGTATGTTACCTTGAAAAGCGCTATTAATAAATAAAGCTAACTGTGCCTTAAATTAGCTGAAGTTCGTAGTGGCTGTTTAAATAAAACTCAACCGAGGATTACAGTTTCGCCCATAAAACTCAACATCTCCCTCAACGTGATCAAGACAAAGGAGATGATTGTGGACTACGGGAAAAAGAGGACCGAGCACTCCTGAACAGCTAATCAAATGGCTACCCGGACTATTTGCATTGCCCCCCCCCCCCCCTTTACACTGCTGCTACTCTCTGTTTATTATCTATGCATAGTCACTTACATTAACTCTACCTACATGTACACTACCGTTCAAAAGTTTGGGGTCACTTAGAAATGTCCTTGTTTTCAAAATAAATGCATTTTTTTTGTCCATTAAAAATAACATCAAATTGATCAGAAATACAGTGTAGACATTGTTAATGTTGTAAATGGCTATTGTAGCTGGAAACGGCAGATTTTTAATGGAATATCTACATAGGCGTACAGAGGCCCATTATCAGCAACCATCAGTCCTGTGTTCCAATGGCACGTTGTGTTTGCTAATCCAAGTTTATCATTTTAAAAGGCTAATTTATCATTAGAAAACCCTTTTGCAATTGTGTTAGCACAGCTGAAAACTGTTGTGCTGATTAAAGAAGCAATAAAACTGGCCTTCTTGAGACTAGTTGAGTATCTGGAGCATCAGCAATTGTGGGTTTGATTACAGGCTCAAAATGGCCAGAAACAAAGAACTTTCTTCTGAAACTCGTCAGTCTATTCTTGTTCTGAGAAATGAAGGCTATATTGTTCTGAGAAACAGGCGCATCACAGGTCCTCAACTGGCAGCTTCATTAAATAGTACCCACAAAACACCAGTCTTGTCACGTCTCCTCCCATTGCTCCCCTCAGGTGCTCTGATTCGCCGATCTACTGAGCCACCGATCTGAGCGCACCACCTCGGCAAGACTGGAATGGAAACCAAACACATCCTAATTACCTCCAGCGCACTGGCACCTCATCATCTCATCACCACCCCTATTTAGCCCTGGACTGTTCTGGATGATGTTGTGTGTGATTGTTTAGCTTCGTGTCGTTTACTCTATCTTTGTTATTTCTCTTTGTCATTGTTAAGTAAACCTTGACCTTGTTAATTCCTGCGTCTGTGTCCTGCCTCTTCGCATACTCAGTACTCGTCACAAGTCTTAACGTCAACAGTGAAGAGGCGTCTCCGGGATGCTGACCTTCTAGGCAGAGTTGCAAAGAAAAAGCCATATCTCAGACTGCCCATCTTAATCTTTTCTTTTTATTGGCCAGTCTGAGATATGGCTTTTTCTTTGCAACTCTGCCTAGAAGGTCAGCATCCCGGAGTTGCCTCTTCACTGTTGACGTTGAGCCTGTAATCGAACCCACAATTGCTGATGTTCCAGATACTCAACTAGTCTCAAGAAGGCCAGTTTTATTGCTTCTTTAATCAGCACAACAGTTTTCAGCTGTGCTAACATAATTGCAAAAGGGTTTTCTAATGATAAATTAGCCTTTTAAAATGATAAACTTGGATTAGCAAACACAACGTGCCATTGGAACACAGGACTGATGGTTGCTGATAATGGGCCTCTGTACGCCTAGGTAGAAATTCCATTAAAAATCAGCAGTTTCCAGCTACAATAGCCATTTACAACATTAACAATGTCTACACTGTATTTCTGATCAATTTGATGTTATTTTAATGGACAAAAAAATTGCTTTTCTTTCGAAAAACAAGGAAATTTCTAAGTGACATCAAACTTTTGAACGGTAGTGTACATATTACCTAAATTACCTCGACTAACCTGTGCCCACGCACATTGACTCTGTACCGGTACCCCCTGTATATAGCTTCACTACTGTTACTTTACTGATGCTCTTAAATTTTTTTATTTTTTAGTTATCTATTTTTTACTTAACACTTATTTAAAAATAAATAAAAATATTGTCATTTAGCAGACGCTCTTATCCAGAGCGACTTACAGTTAGTGAATGCATACGTTTTTTTAGTGTGTTTTTTTATATTTTTTATACTGGCCCCCCGTGGGAAACAAACCCACATCCCTGCCGGCCAAACCCTCCCCTACCTTGGACGACGCTGGACCAATTGTGCACCGCCCATGGGTCTCCCGGTTGCGGCTGGCTGCGACAGAGCCTGGACTCGAACCAGGATCTCTAGTGGCACAGCTACCACTGCGATGCAGTGCCTTAGACCACTGCCCCACTCTGAATTTTTCTTAAAACTGCATTGTTGGTTAAGGGCTTGTAAGTAAGCATTTCACTGTAAGGTCTACACCTGTTGTATTCGGCACATGTGACAAATACATTTGATTTGATAAACTACTTTCAGGGTCAGGAACCATCTAACAGTTAAATACATAACTTTCCCTTTAATCTCACCTGAGCAGACCACACTCGCATCCTCAGAATGAATGCAGTTATGCTGACCTATCGCATCAGAAGTGCAGTCAAAGAGAGAGCCTTCTGTGCCAACACAGGCTATGTTGTCCAGCAGAATGGGAATTCCAACTCCCATTCCAAACCAGGCCCGTCCGGGGGCATTCATAGCCCACCCACAGCTGAGCTGTCTGCAGACCACGTCAGCGTCGCTCACGTCCCAGTCATCATCACACACCGTACCCCACTGCCCCGCATAATACACTTCCACCCTCCCTGAACACTGATCAGGACCATCCACCAGCCGGATCAACGGGCCATCATCTGGGACCACTGGAGAGAAGAGTACATTATGTTACGTAGTCTCAAGGCTTGGTTCCTCAGTGCAGTATATGTTTGCTTTGTAAGGACCACTCATATTGTCAATTATTTGAATATAGTTTTATGGAATTTATCTTACTGTCTCTATCTGGGTCCTCTTGTTCTTGAATTGGACGTTAGGAAAATATTAAATAATGAAAAAGGGGAGTGAGATATTGTGAAAAACAGGTTTTCAATTCTCCTTAATCTGAACATAAACTATTTTAGTCAATTGAGCTTACTGTATTTGTAGGCTGAGGCTTACCCATCATGCAAGTTACACTGGCATCTTCATCATGGCCACAGTTATGGTTTCCTATCCCTCCTGATCTGCATTCCAGTAAAGATCCCTCACTTCCCATGCACGCCACATCGTCCAATAGGATTGAGCCACTCCCCTCACCAAAGTGAGCCTGGTGAGGAGCCTCTGTGGCTGGTCCACAGCTCAGCTCCCTACATACAATTTGGGCATCTAGCAAACACCAGTTATCATCACAGACTGTCCCCCAACTCCCATCCTGGTAGACCTCCACCCTGCCAGAGCAGCGATTGGGACCATCAACTAGGCGCACTGTCAAGTCAGCTGTTTGAGTTAAAAGGAAGGGAAAGGGCACTGACCTTTTGTTTTGCAAATACATATTAAGACTCGTTCTGCAACTGAAACATCAAGTAAGGAATAATTGTTTTATTACTCACAATGGGAATCTGAAGGGGATTGACCTGAGAGAGAGAGAGAGAGAGAGAGAGAGAGAGAGAGAGAGAGAGAGAGAGAGAGAGAGAGAGAGAGAGGGAAAGAGAGAGAGAGAGAGAGAGAGAGAGAGAGAGAGAGAAGGGCGGGTAGACAGTGAGAGAGAGAAATGGTAGCATTACACAAGCCCCTAGTTGAAGTTGGTAGTTTAGATACATCTTTATAGCAAATTCAACCACTCACCTGACTGACCCTCACATATCACTCCTGCATCCTCAAAGTGTCCACAGTTGTGTGACCCCAGTCCATCTGAGCTGCAGCCAAGCAGTGACTCTTCATTCCCAGAACATTCCACATCATCTAGCCAGATCTCCCCCCTGCCCCAGCCAAAGTGGGCCTGGTCCGGGGCCTCCAGGGCCGCTCCACAGCCCAGTGCTCTACACACTACCTTGGCATCCAGCAGGTCCCAGTCATCATCACACACTGTACCCCACTGGCCTGCATAGTACACCTCCACCCTGCCAGAGCAGTTGTTTGGGCCACGCACTAAACGTACTCCTCCAGCACTGACTGAGGTGGCTGGAAAATAATTGTTTAGTTAAGTCCCACGTTAAGGGCTCTATTCAATCTGTATCGCTGAAGCGTTACAGATTGCGCACTAGAAATGTAAAGGTAATTTCCGATTGAGCTGACATATGCAGCGTTTACCGTGAATGCAGTCTCAGCTAACGCGGAAACACTGCCTTTTAATTTCAATCACGCTGTAATGCTGAACTACCGCAATACGGATTGAATAGAGCCCTATTTGGTGACTGAGTATTTATATGATAGTCACATAAAGAGGTACTTTAACTAAAGTGTATGACTGACATCATGGAATTAAAATTTTTTATGGAGATTAAACTTGCCAACAAACTCAATAACATAACTTATTAGAGGGTCTATGGTCTCAGCGCTTCACTGTTATACTTACGTGTGTCTAGAACTCGAGATGCTCCTTCATTGGAGCAAACAACTACATGAGAGGAACATAATGATAAAACATACAATAAGTTAAAGATGTTATATTGTATTGCCATGTCAAAGGTCCTGTGTGTGTGAGTTGATAGGAGGTGGACATGGATGTGTTTCAGTCCTCATTTGCTATTAGTTAACAGATAAATTGGAAAACAAATTAGACCATGATATTAGTAGTCATATACTTCACAGTGCTGTTTCTGAACTTTCGCAAATTAATATGGCATTTATACAATGAAAATGTTAGTGAGCAGAGTCGCCATTGTAGATTAACTCATTAATATTAAATAAATTATGATTTGCAGAGAACCTTGCACAAAACTACTATATGAAATCCTAGACCCTGTGTAGTACACAACATATTAATTGTGTATTAATTATTTTGTAAAACACACTTTTTGTTCACATGGGACAAACATTTTCATAAATAGTTAACATAAATATTAAGGTATGGTATTGTTAAAATACAATTTGCTCACCTGCAATCACAAATGCTAGGTACCACTTGCGCTTGGGTGTAAGAGTCATGATCAAAGTTGAGAATGTCATGTATGAGCCTTTTTATAGCCAGGTTTTGTTACCTTTTGTTGTGTGTCACCTGATTTCTCCAAAGAGGAAAACTGATATCTAACAAAAGGTGGCATTTATTTATCACTGAATATATATTACATAACACCAGTGAAGATTACTATTTGAAAAGAAACCACACAAAGGCATCTTCACTGGGAATAAGAGTAACACACTGTTTATCAAAACAGAATACAAGCTTTATGTGCTGGTTGTTCTATTGATCTTAGGCTCCGATTAAAGGAGAGCTCAACCATGAGGTGACAGAATTTAACAGCTAAATGAAAGTTGTCGGGTTATTTAATAGCATGTGAGAATATCAGGCACGGGCTGACACCAGCTCCATGATAGAAAGTATTTTGAGAAAATAGAATGCATGTATTTGGGTGGTGGTTGTTTCAGAGCCATGGGCTTTCCTCTTCCCACTTTCAATTCCCTGGGGGGTAGGCCTGTTTCATGATAGGTAGTGGTGTGGGGTCAATTTTAACAAGCTAATTTAGAAACACAACATCTCCTGGGCTTAGGCTCTGACTAGTTTCCTAGTGACTTTGACAAGTTTGCTCTTCTCACACAGTAAACATTCAAAGATTTTGACAGAATTATTGTTCTATGGGAAATCAAATCAAATTTTATTTGTCAAATGCGCCGAATACAACAGGTGTAGACCTTACCGTGAAATGCTTACTTACAAGCCCTTAACCAACAATGCAGTTTTAAGAAAGAACACCAAATAAAATCACAAAAAAATACAATATAAAATAATACTAAATAAAAGTAACAAATAATTAAAGAGCAGCAGTAAAAATAACAATAGCGAGGCTATATACAGGGGGTACCGGTACCGAGTCAACATGCGGGGGGTTCAGGAGTCTTATGGCTTGGGGGTAGAAGCTGTTTAGAACCCTCTTGGACCTAGACTTGGCGCTCCGGTACCGCTTGCCGTGCGGTAGCAGAGAGAACAGTCTATGACTAGGGTGGCTGGATTCTTTGACAATTCTTATGGCCTTCCTCTGACACCGCCTGGTATAGAGGTCCTGGATGGCAGGAAGCTTGGCCCCAGTGATGTATTGGGCCGTACGCACTACCCTCTGTAGTGCCTTGCGGTCGGAGGCCGAGCAGTTGCCATACCAGGCAGTGTTGCAACCAGTCAGGATGCTCTCCATATAAATTGATGTAATAAGGTGATGTAAGCCCCTCTCTTATTCGAAATGTTAACCTTGGACACGTAAACACAAGACAACATTAATTTAGCTCGTTACAAACTCCAAGGCTATCTTGACTAGTTAAACCCAGCCCGACAATCTTCTTTGACAGTGGAGGTAAATATCTAAAGTCCATGGTGTAAACGGATTCAACTCACAGCAACAAACCCAGTCTAACATTAAGCAAGGAAATAAGTCATTTCAGTGTGATGCATCAATATATCAATAGGTTACACATATAGGACACTCGCTATTCACTAAGGACCAAATCATAAATTGGGAAACAGGCACATGCATTATGTAAATGAGAAACTAAAGCAGGAAAATAAAAAATCTAGTTCTGAAAAAATGTATGTGGATTTGGCCTAGAAGACTCAGCCATGACCACAATACTAGAAATCCCCTTTAGATGTTATACAACTGCTAATGCTCTTACTATTGGTTTTCAAACAATATTTAGGCCTAATTATAATGAATGAATACGCTTGTATGGGAATAAATCTCAAATCTTGCACTTTTAAAGTGCACATTGTCTTTGGGTTATGAGAGGCTCAGTCAGTGTGAATGAATGTTACATAATTCCCTCTGCATAATCTGTTTTTGGAGCAGGCATTGAATTCCAGAACACGTGCTTCAGAAGCAGTACCCCTTCTCTCCCTCCACTATAGCACAGACCACGTCAGAAATCTGGGTCAAAGTTAATTTGTACTTTTCCTGCTGTGTGCCAAAGTGCAGCATATATGTTTGGTGTAGTAGTCTCTGAAAACCCTCGATAAGCAGAGAGAAATGCATGCACCCACGGAGAAGTGAAGAAACAGCCACTGCCAGGCTTTTATTTTCCATTGCCTTGGAAATATTCAACCTATTTTTACGAAGTGCTCTCATACCCAAAGGGGTTCTTTGGGGCCACTTACAACAAGGTACTCGTCATATCTTCAGACTCAAGGTAAATTGTGACGTGGAAACAACGTTGATTCAACCCGTTTTTGCTCAGTGGGATGTTTTTTTCTCCAAATGTCTTGTCTTATCATCCGTTGAATGATAATAGTAAGGACAAATAATCATCATTTTAAAAATGAATAGATTTGGTAGATGGTTTTTCATTATTTTCACCTTCCCACATTATAATTGGAAGAAGTGTAAACTCTAACATAGCCTATTAGCTAGGAAGGTAACTCCAAACTAGGGCTGTGACGATTATGGAATTTAGGGTAATGATTAATTGTCATGCAAATCGCCACAGTTATTGTCATAATTATGATTTTTTATTTATATTTTTTGCTTGTAATGCATCATAATGCATATTTGAAAAGCATACCTAATAAATACAACTACTACATACCTAATGTATACAACACAGCTTCGCTGACACCCCTGTCTCAAAAACGAATGGTTTTGACAGCTTAGATCTTTTTGAAATGAAGCTTTTAAAAGTGCCTTTTATAAACATTTCATGCAATTGTACATCATTTGACATATTAGCAGAATATTTTTTAATACCACACAAATTACCGAAATTACAGGCTAAGAATGGACAGAGATAGGCCTAACGTTGTGTTCATCTTATCATATTTCTCCAATGCCAAATCGGTGTCTTGTTTGCAACGAAACTGTCCCTGTCTGCAAATAATTAAATCTGAGACATCATTAGGAATCTGAACATCATACTTTCCAAAGTTAGGCCTAGCAGAGTAGGTCTACCGAAGCAGAACAATTTAAGCTTTACTGCTGGCTACTCTACTTCCGTGGTTTAACCCAATGAGAGAAGGTCGCAGGTGTTTCCCTAAAAACTGTCTGGGTTTAAAAAATATTCTATTGTACAAAGTGAATAGCTTAATCAATTGATATTGACGGAATTAGATTACTTCCCAAGCAAAGTCTATTTTTGTGTCTCCTCGGCTATAGAAGGTTGTAACTCAGCCTCTGAATGTCAAAGAAACGAAACAATGATATTCCCATATGCATCGGAGTCACGTCTTTCCCGGCTATTTTACAGCTTGATGCTAGCATAAAGCATCGTGGACCAAAGCACTGTTATAGATCACTTTATATAATCGGATCAGTTATTCCTCAGGCTATTTAAAGAATGCATGGTGGGTGAAGGAATTGACAACAAATCTATGGATATACCAGCCTATAGCCTAATTTCGTCTGTCAAACAGGTAGGCCTACCTCTTATTTCTTAAATAGGAAGAAATAGGCTCCAACACAAAGCCCTCATGTTGTTAGTGAAGTATAGTTAAAATGAAGACGGTTAAAATGAATTATACCTACTTGAATTTGACTTCTTTCCACACCATGAGCTGTCCATTTCCGATTGATTGTGCCACAGCTGCTGGTTAAAATTTCAGCACCACAATGTAAATTACTTGAATTTGGATTATTGTGAGGTCAATAACTCTGATAAATACATCATGGGCAAGAAACATATTGTTTTAATAAAGTCAATTATAGTAGTAACAAGGTATCAAAGTTGACCTCCGGTCCTCCTCATCTTTGCTCTCTCCTTCTCAAACTGAACATAATATAGGTTATAGGCTAGTCCGCGCGCAAGATTGGACTAGGCCTAATCAACAACAACAAAAATCGGAAGAAGCCTTTGACTCTCCCCCTGAACTGCCACGGTAGGCCTACACAGCACAGCCATTGTTTAGGCAGCACACAAAAAAAGTTATTGATCAGCAAGAGCAGAGCAGGCCGGGGCTCAGAGTTCGAATATCCATTACAGTGTGTAATGCAGCCTAGTTGTATTTACACCAACCCAGCAGCTATCTTAGAAATATAACTTTGCTCTGTGCTTCTCCGAGCATGCACTTCGTTGCCTATAGGCAATAGATCATTTGATTGAGACCACACTAAATAGACCTATAGGCATACTTGATATTGCACGCCCAGCGGAGAATCAGAGATGAGGGCCGGCATGAGGCACACGATATATAGCCTAATAACAAACAAATTCTAAAACACTGAGAAATATTGAAATGTAATCAATTACAAATTACATGACTCTCCCCTGGACTAGATTTTTTTTTTAAAAATACTAAACCCTCCCCTTGACCGAAATTGAAAAAGAAAGCCCCTCCCCCATTTTCTTACAGGTAACCATTCTGTACATTTCAATCCATCCCTTAGCAATGTGTTGGCAAAAATGAATGTCCAAGTCAAGAAAGCTTGCGCGCAGCCAGCATCATTTTCCACGACTGGTACTCGCTGGTGCTTTTTCAAAGCCTATGTCATATACTCAAGTGAGTGTAATTAGCTCCAAATAGTGTAATATACTCAATATTAGGAGTTGAGAAATGAAGTTGACATCATTAGAAAGAAGATATTCCCCTATTTTCTACTGTAGGCATGTCATTCAAAATTAGTTTAGTCTGTTATTGATAGCGATATTCATAAAAACCTTGAAATGAAACAAATATATTTCCACGTAAAAAAAATCTAAAATTGCGGACCCCCGGTTGAATATCCCTGGCATAGCCTATTGGTGTGTGTGTGTGTGTGCATGTGATATTGAACATAATAGCTACAGTGGCTTGCGAAAGTATTCACCCCCCTTGCCATTTTTCCTATTTTGTTGCCTTACAACCTGGAATTAAAATGGATTTTTTGGGGGTTTGTATCATTTGATTTACACAATATGCCTACCACTTTGAAGATGCTAAATGTTTTTTGGGGTGAAACAAACAAGAAATAAGACAAAAAAAAACAGAACTTGAGCATGCATAACTATTCAACCCCCCCTCTATAAGAATGGCACATCTAGCCACTGGGATTTTTGCCCATTCTTCAAGGCAAAACTGTTCCAGCTCCTTCAAGTTGGATGGGTTCCGCTGGTGTACAGCAATCTTTAAGTCATACCACAGATTCTCAATTGGATTGAGGTCTGGGCTTTCACTAGGCCATTCCAAGACATTTAAATGTTTCCCCTTAAACCACTTGAGTGTTGCTTTAGCAGTATGCTTAGGGTCATTGTCCTGCTGGAAGGTGAACCTCCGTCCCAGTCTCAAATCTCTGGAAAACTGAAACAGGTTTCCCTCAAGAATTTCCCTGTTTTTAGTGCCATCCATCATTCCTTCAATTCTGACCAGTTTCCCAGTCCCTGCCGATGAAAAACATCCCCACAGCATGATGCTGCCACCACCATGCTTCACTGTGGGGATGGTGTTCTCGGGGTGATGAGAGGTGTTGGGTTTGCGCCAGACATAGCGTTTTCCTTGATGGCCAAAAAGCTCAATTTTAGTTTCATCTGACCAGAGTACCTTCTTCCATATGTTTGGGGAGTCTCCCACATGCCTTTTGGCGAACACCAAACGTGTTTGCTTATTTTTTTCTTTAAGCAATGGCTTTTTTCTGGCCACTCTTCCGTAAACCCCAGCTCTGTGGAGTGTACGGCTTAAAGTGGTCCTATGGACAGATACTCCAATCTCCGCTGTGGAGCTTTGCAGCTCCTTCAGGGTTATCTTTGGTCTCTTTGTTGCCTCTCTGATTAATGCCCTCCTTGCCTGGTCCATGAGTTTTGGTGGGCAGCCCTCTCTTGGCAGGTTTGTTGTGGTGCCATATTCTTTCCATTTTTATTAATGGATTTAATGGTGCTCCGTGGGATGTTCAAAGTTTCAGATATTTTTGTATAACGCAACCCTGATCTGTACTTCTCCACAACTTTGTCCCTGACCTGTTTGGAGAGGTCCTTGGTCTTCATGGTGCTGCTTGCTTGGTGGTGCCCCTTGCCTAGTGGTGTTGCAGAATCTGGGGCCTTTCAGAACAGGTGTATATATACTGAGATCATGTGACAGATCATGTGACACTTAGATTGCACACAGGTGGACTTTATTTAACTAATTATGTGACTTCTGAAGGTAATTGGTTGCACCAGATCTTATTTAGGGGCTTCATAGCAAAGGGGGTGAATACATATGCACGCACCACTTTTCCGTTATTAATATTTTAGAATTTATTGAAACAAGTTATTTTTTTCATTTCACTTCACCAATTTGGCCTATTTTGTGTATGTCCATTACATGAAATCCAAATAAAAATCCATTTAATTACAAGTTGTAATGCAACAAAATAGTAAAAACGCCAAGAGGGATAAATACTTTTGCAAGGCACTGTATATCTGGGTCGTTCCACGAATAGAGTGCTGTTGTGTCCCTTTGATATTTTAAGTAGAAACTGTGCACCAAAATTGAATTTTAAAAGCCTGTTATATTAAATTAAGTGCCCTTTAATATAAACCACATGGAATATTTAAATAATCCGATTTTTAATATAAATAAAGACTTGCGAAAGTGCCAGAAATGTTGAAATGTCCACATCTTTTTCTGACTTCTAGGAAGATTTTAACCCACTTTTCATTTTCCCAAGTTTTCACCATCATAAATTTAGTAAAACCCTAGTTATTTTGTTGCTTTGACAAAGTCATTTCTGAAGATTGTTTTATTTCATGTGATTAGTGTTTAATTTAAGTTTGTCCTTCATTTTAAGGTCAACCTTGTTACGTGTAAAAGCAGGTGAGCTGGTTCTTCTCTTTTTGGCAATTTTCTGGTGTTTTGTAGAGCATCAAGCATAACACGTCAACCATGTTACCAATAGTTACATGGGCTAGAAATGTTTTAACAAATTTTTTTGTTAAGCTTGCATTACATTTCCCTTCCATGTTGCCCACAACATTTCCCCTGCCACAACGGGAGTTATGGCTGATTTAAGATGAAATCGTCAACCCTGTTATGGTCAACCCTATTACGGTCAACCCTGTTACTTTAATGAGCACTTTTCCTGTTACTTTAATTGGCATTTTTCTTAATTTGACCTCTTGAAATACAATTTTAAATATATATATATAAAGTGGAACATGTGCTCTTTCTGACAGAATATTCAAATTAGGTGAAATAAAGTTGGTGTTTTTTGTGTGACATAATTACACTATCCAAAAAACACTTTTCATGGAATGACCCATGTGTAAGCTACATTATACACACACACTTTTGTATTCAGGGAAAGTTGATATGAGGTTGTGTTACACAAGAGATTGCAAAATGTTATGACTTTCTGTAAATGAGTAACAGAAAGTACCTGTACATACGATCCTCAAGCTTAATCACTAGCATGAACTTACTTGAACTGAGAATTGGTTCAATAGCACATTATGCTTTCAGTGACCTCCCAGTATCAGACATGTAATGTGCCTCCCTCTGATTACACTGAATGAGATCATATCTATGTGCAGTACATATCATCCATTATCTTGTCAAAACTTGTTTGACCATGTCCATTGTGGCTCTCACAAAGGTTGGTGTCGGGTAAAGGGAGGGACCCAACTTTGGTTCAAGTTTACAACATGACTACAACTACTGCTAATCGAATGCTACTCTCATCATGTTTAATCTAAGCACGAATTATTATCAATAATTGCCTCACCTACCCTCATATCTGCCTAGCCAGCTTCATATCCTCTTCTGCCGGCAAATCTTGAAGTTGCAGTAAGTCATCTCTTTACGAATGGCAGTCTGAAAATATGCAACCAATACACACACACACACTAAACATTATGTTATACTTGGTTAGATAGGCCATTATTTTGGCTACCATGGTTATGCCCCCATAGGATGACAATGCCCTCATCCACAGGGCATGAGTGGTCACTGAATGGTTTGATGAGCATGACAATAATGTAAACCATATGCCGTGCTGGTCTCATTCACCAGATCTCACCCACAATTTAACACTTATGGGAGATTCTAGAGCGGTGCAAGAGACAGCGTTTTCCACCACCATCAACAAAACACCAAATGATGGAATTTCTCGTGGAAGAATGGTGTCACATCCCTACAATAGAGTTCCAGACACTTGTAGAATCTATGCCAAGGTGTACTGAAGCTGTTCTGGCTCGTGCTGGACCAACGCCCTATTAAGACACTTAATGTTGGTGTTTCCTTTATTTTGGCAGTTACCTGTATGTTTGAGACTATAGTCACATGAATTAATGTGTGTGTGTGTGTGTGTGTGTGTGTGGTGAGACGGGGGTGGAAAGCAGTGGTCAATTAAAACACTTTCAACTATAGAAAGCAACCGTATTTGTTACGTTCTTTTTCCTCTCCAGACAAACCATGATAGTCACCGTGGCAGCCCCACCCTGCTTCCCTCCACATCCTGCTCTCCTCCTACTGACCTGTCTCCTGTGGGTGTTCCCAGCTCAGAGCCAGGCTGGCAACATCCTGGTGTACCCTGTGGACGGCAGCCATTGGCTCAACATGGACATCCTCCTGCGAGAGCTGCACCTGCGGGGGCACTCTTTAACAGTGGTCCGCTCATCCACTAGCTGGTACGTTCCTGAACACGCCCCCCACTACTCCTCAGTCACATTGCCCGTGCCCGGGGCCAATAGCCTGGAGGACCCGCAGTACATGGCATCCTTCCTGAAGAGGAGCCTAGAGATATGGACACGAGAGCGATCCATTTTGTCCTTCATCGAGCTACAGAAGGAGACTATTAATTTGCTGGAGGAGGCCCATCGCGGCAGTGCTGAAATGGCCCGCTTAGCCATGGAGGACAAACAGTTAATGGAGAAGCTGAAGGGAGCCAATTTTGATTTAATGTTGACAGATCCTGGATTTGCAGGAGGAGTTGTATTGGGGAGTTACTTGGGTCTTCCTATTGTGCTCAACGTTCGTTGGATCACCAATGCAGAGGGACACTTTGCGATTGCACCTTCGCCCCTTTCTTACATACCAACTATTGGGTCGCTGGTCACAGATAAAATGAGTTTTGTCAACAAACTAAAAAACGTCTTGCATTATGGAATCTCTCTTTATATTGATTACGGCATAACAAGACCTCTATACCAGGGTGTGATCAACGAATTCATCGATCCAAACACCAATATCTATTCTCTCATTCAGGGGGCTGACCTATGGCTGATGAGAGTGGACTTTGTGTTTGAGTTCCCACGCCCCACCATGCCCAACGTGGTCTACATGGGGGGCTTCCAGTGTAAGCCCTCTAAGCCTTTGCCCGCAGAGTTAGAGGCATTTGTGCAGAGCTCGGGGGAACATGGGGTCGTGGTCATGTCTTTGGGGAGTCTGCTGGGTAGCCTCCTCCCGGAGATCTCAGAGGTAATTGCAGCTGCCTTCGCCCGCCTGCCTCAGAAGGTGGTGTGGAGACATACAGGAGAGAAGCCCTCTACTCTAGGCAACAACACACTACTGGTGAACTGGCTGCCTCAGAACGACCTACTTGGCCATCCCAAAACAAGAGCCTTTGTGACACACGGGGGCACCAATGGGATCTATGAAGCCATCTACCATGGGGTTCCCATGTTAGGCCTTCCTCTCATCTTTGACCAGTTTGACAACATGCTTCGTCTACAGGCCAGGGGTGTGGCTAAGATTCTCGAGGTGACGGCCCTAGAGGTGGAACCTATGACACAGGCTCTGACAGACATCCTGGACAAGAGTAAGCCCTACGGAGAGAATATGCTCAGGATGTCAAAGCTCCACCACGATACACCTCTCAAACCAATGGACAACGCCATCTTCTGGCTAGAATTTGCTATGAGGCACAAGGGTGCAGCACACTTGCGCACCGAGTCCTACAAGATGCCCTGGTATGCTTACCACAATGTGGATATACTGGTACTTCTCCTGACTGTTGTTGTCTCTGTCCTGCTACTAACCCTAATGACTTGCAGGGTTCTAGGTAGGGCTCTTTGCCGAAAGAAAAAGGAAAAACTGCAGTAGTCTCTGAAGAATTCCAGTTTTACATACTACAGTACAGTATATACAACTACGCAACTACTATATTCTACTACAAGACAAATAGGCATGAAACATTGTCAAAATCACAAATGTTTATATTAGACTAGAGCCGGTTTCAGTCATTCTCAATTATTCTATTTCTTGTAATAAAATACAAACAGCAGTAAAGCATTTAAAATCAATGCAATCTGCTCAAAATGTCACATTGTTTATACAACATTTTTATTGACTTTTAAACAACGTATTTTTGTATTTGTGCAGACAAATGTACCAGTCACATATCAATGTAAATATTCACGTAATACCACAATCTCTTTTTTGGTCCAAAAAAGAAAAAGAAAAAAACACAACATACGGCGAATATGGGCAAACAATGTGATGCATTTCTTGCTTTTATGTCCTTGGTTTCTGAGTAGAGGATTTGACTATGTTTGTGTGCTACAGGTGAATATTTAAAACAGATAAAAAATAAAGTGCTCCTTCCCATCTGCTGTATGGTATGTATTGACAATATCGCTCCAATTTATGAACAGTTCCATTTGCTTGCACTACGCAAGAAAAATGAATTTAAAAAAGTTCCAAAGAAAACTAAATATAGCCTATTGAATTATCTACAGGTTACAGAAGTTGTCTCATGTTTCTGGGGATCATAATCAGACATGCAATCTATTAAGACAGGTGCTTAAAAACAATAACATAGAAACTATATAGTAGATACCAGTTTGCAACTTTGTGTTATATTCCATTAGGGAAACATATGAACAGCTGTATTGCATTGTAATACTTGCTTTAATGTGTGGTATGGCAAACTTCTCTATAACTTCAGTTGGCTGAGGGGACTAGTTTTTCAAATCTATCTATCTATCTATAGATAATTGGTTACAATTCCTTTTAAATGTATTTTTCTCATCCAACAGCAAGAAAAAGTAGCAGTAAAACTGAAATAAAAGATGGCACGTGACATATTGCAAAACAATGTGAATTTAATTTCTGGTGTTCTTACTTAAAACAGAACCTTATGTACCAAGATTAGATTTTAGTACCAAATATGATTAGCTCTTTTATTTAACATATGGAAAGGTAAAGGGAAATGTCACTGATAATTTTAACAAGTTAAAAGCAAGAGTGAATTTTGAAAGCGGTTGGCAAAATCATTTAATCTTCCATAAAAAAGTATATTGATCCAGGAAAAGAGACTATAAGTAGCAGCGCTGAAATGCTAATCTTGTTGGCTATAACATTCATTTACCAACACAAATTAAAACATATTAGGGGAATACAAATATTACAGATACTGCACTCTGATTAACTATATTACCTTTTCATGTGGGAGGAATCGTATAGATATTGAACATCTGTTCAAAGTAACAGATGTACACATTATACACTCAACCTATAGAAAATGTTGCCTAGAAAACACCCTCATATGTCAGAGGTATAGCCAACTGTATTAAATAATCTATCAGATGGCAGTCTTTGCTCAATGTTATTGTCTGTGGGTCTGACTCTGTCCGTACGTTCGTCACACGCGATATCTCAGACAGCACTGGGCCGATTTTGACAAAACGTAGGTAAGTGATGCATCTTGCCGTACAGATCCAGCATTTAGAAAATTACACTGATTGGCCCAAGGCGGTACGACATGTTTACTGTTCCTTGTTTCCTAAAGCAAGTATCAGAGGCTCCTAACTTGGGTAGCACTACACTATGCTACATTGTCTGATTGATTCTAGGGTAATGAACTGTGGACAAAGATGTCCTGAAAATGTGGTCCAAAATAATCACCAACTACTCTGGTCTTGCACATTTGCATGAAACAAAATATACCTAATTATACCGTTGTAGTAAAATGTATGATGACTTGGAAAGCAGATCAAAGACAGTATTCCATCAATATTAAGAGAGTCTGCTAAAATTAAAAATTTAAAAATATTGATCAACTCAATAAAATACAATTGTTCTCTGTGTACTTCACTAACTAAATGGTTGATAAGTACTAAATGCAGTGTGTACAGTCGTGGTCAAAAGTTTTGAGAATGACACAAATACTAATTTTCACACTGCCTCAGTTTTGATGATGGCAATTTGCATATACTCCAGAATGTCATGAAGAGTGATCAGATGAATTGCAATTAATTGCAAAGTCCCTCTTTGCCATGAAAAATAAATTAATCCCCCAAAAACATTTCCACTGGATTTCAGCCCTGCCACAAAAGGACCAGCTGCCATCATGTCAGTGATTCTCTCGTTAACACAGGTGAGAGTGTTGACGAGGACAAGGCTGGAGATCACTCTGTCATGCTGATTGAGTTAGAATAACAGACTGGAAGCTTTAAAAGGAGGGTGGTGCTTGAAATCATTGTTCTTCCTCTGTTAACCATGGTTACCTGCAAGGAAACACGTGCCGTCATCATTGCTTTGCACAAAAAGGGCTTCACAGGCAAGGATATTGCTGCTAGTAAGATTGCACCTAAATCAACCATTTATCGGATCATCAAGAACTTCAAGGAGAAAGGTTCAATTGTTGTGAAGAAGGCGTCAGGGCGCCCAAGAAAGTCCAGCAAGCGCCAGGACCGTCTCCTAAAGTTGATTCAGCTGCGGGATCGGGGCACCACCAGTGCAGAGCTTGCTCAGGAATGGCAGGAGGCAGGTGTGAGTGCATCTGCACGCACAGTGAGGCGAAGACTTTTGGAGGATGGCCTGGTGTCAAGAAGGGCAGCGAGGAAGCCACTTCTCTCCAGGAAAAACATCAGGGACAGACTGATATTCTGCAAAAGGTACAGGGATTGGACTGCTGAGGACTGGGGTAAAGTCCTTTTCTCTGATGAATCCCCTTTCCGATTGTTTGGGGCATCTGGAAAACACCTTGTCCGGAGAAGACAAGGTGAGCGCTACCATCAGTCCTGTGTCATGCCAACAGTAAAGCATCCTGAGACCATTCATGTGTGGGGTTGCTTCTCAGCCAAGGGAGTGGGCTCACTCACAATTTTGCCTAAGAACACAGCCATGAATAAAGAATGGTACCAACACATCCTCTGAGAGCAACTTCCCCCAACCATCCAAGAACAGTTTGGTGATGACCAATGCCTTTACCAGCATAATGGAGCACCTTGCCATAAGGCAAAAGTGATAACTAAGTGGCTCAGGGAACAAAACATCGAAATGTTGGGTCCATGGCCAAACTCCCCAGACCTTAATCCCATTGAGAACTTGTGGCCGATCCTCAAGAGGCAGGTGGACAAACAAAACCCCACAAATTCTGACAAACTCCAAGCATTGATTATGCAAAAATGGGCTGCCATCAGTCAGGATGTGGCCCAGAAGTTAATTGACAGCATGCCAGGGCAGATTGCAGAGGTCTTGAAAAAGAAGGGTCAACACTGCAAATATTGACTCTTTGCATAAACGTAATGTAATTGTCAATAAAAGCTTGTAATTATACTTCAGTATACCATAGTAAAATCTGACAAAAATATCTCATAACACTGAAGCAGCGAACTTTGTGAAGACCAATACTTGTGTCATTCTCAAAACTTTTGACCACGACTGTAGAGCCTTTTCTCTTTACATGGAATGACCATTAAAAAGCAAAAATAAGGGGGGAACTATGTATGTTTGTTGTAACTCAAATATAATAAAACTACAAAACAATTGTTTAAAGTTGAGGTCCACATAAGGTGAAACAGGTTTTGTTTATGAAACAGCGCAGAGGAGCTTCGTGGTAAAAAAAAACGTGTAGGACCTACTCTGCTGTTCTATCGCGCTTGCAATGATGTGAGATGATGTCCGAGGGAAAAAACAGGGTTTCTTGTTTGAAGTACTGTCTTTGTTGTTGTAATATCGCAAACAGACGTGGCAATTTCACTGCTAAGAATTCCAGCTTTAATGAATAAATGTGTATATTTTTTCTAATGAAATTCTAATATTGACAAGCAAATCAAGAAATAGAAATCTGAGCCATGGGTGAATACACATTTTCTAAAAGGTCATTAATATTTGAGATGGGAGGGTAGATACAGTATTTGGGGAGCAAAATTATTTCAAAATGACTTGCTGTTTTTTAAATACTTATTACTGCATTCTATGTTGTTGAATTTATGTTTGTGTTGCAATTTTCAAGCACATCTGAGACCACACAGTACGGTTAATCTTTTAAATCCTTGTTGAACCAAATCAACAAGAACGACCCGCACAAGATTTGTTCATTTGACAACGTACCAAAAGTGTTGGATAAAAATGTTTCTAAATTATTTACTACCAAATAATTGTATGATGGTATGTCTCTGGCTTACAATGATTCTGTCCTTGTCTGGCAGTAAACAAAATTCTAAATGTCCCAACAGGGACTTGCCTGTTTATAGCAATGTGTAGTAATAGTCTACTAGGGGCCATTTCAAGAACACTTTATGGCAAAGAGCTGTGTGATACCAAAATAAAATGTTAAATCAGATTTTATAGTCAATTCACAAGTTACAATATAAAATATTAGCATTGTCCTTCCAGCAGAAAAAAACAAAACCTTCAACATTCAAAACACTTATCTTATGTCTGTGTTCCATACATCTAACTCAACTTACTCTTGCTCACTTTTATTTCACATTCCCTTCATAGATGAAAGGGCAGGGCACCCAGCATACTTCTTTGTGAATCAGACCGTACTTTCCACTTTCCTTGCTTCTGTCAAGTCAAGTTCTCTTATTTGGGACACGGGTGCCCACTCAAAAAGAAGCAGACATGCGCTTCTAGGAGGATGGAGTCCCTCTGCTCCCTTCGGGTGCGGCTGCAGCCCCGGCCCCACCTCCAGTGACCAGGTTCCGGAGCAGCTTGCGGCGGCCGGCCTGATAGTCCTCCTCATCTACATTGACCAGCAGTTTGATGGCCTCATGGCCCACCGCCTGTTTGAGTGAGTCTGTGATGAAGACACCCTTCAGGGCCTCCAGCAGGGAGCCGTTGATGTAGTCCCGCCAGAAAGCATCTAGGTATGTGAGCTCTGAGAACTTGATGTCACAGATTATGGAGCCCAGGTCCCGGGACTTGAGAATAGTGTTTGCCTGGTTGAACCTCTCAAACTGCCTCTCCAGAGCCTCCTGCTTGTTGGAGAAGACGTTTCCCTGAAGCGCTGATTCATGCTGGCAATACTCGGCACGCACTCGTAAGCGGATGTCTGCAGGGGTGTGGGGTGAATAGGGAAGAGCAAGGGGAATGGTTACACAGAGGAAGAGTGTGCCGTCTAATGCCATGGAAACTATACAGTCAAGGAATTCTGGAGCAATTTAGACTTTTAATTCAGCATCTGTATAGTTTGGTCGCAGATATGTATGCATGTGCTTTAGCCAACTCTTTTGTCATTTATTGTCATGAAAGAACTGTCAAAAAGTAGATACACACATGCGGCCTCTGAAGGCATAAAGTTACTAAACAAGTTGCTTTTGAATTATTTTGAGGGGATATTTTTCATGCTTTCACAATAAACACCCAAAATTCCCTTACCACAGGTTTGCTTCTCCCTGCAGTCTCCTGTGGTGTGGGCCCTCTTCCTCTTGCGGCTGGGTAATGGGGGGCCTGGCTTGGTGCGGGGGGAGCCCACCTGGGGTCCCGATGGAGAACAGCATATTACTGGTTGGGGGCCTGTTAATGGAGTGGGAAAAAAATGCTAAGACATTTACAGATGTATTCATTTCACTATTTCCACACACACACACATATACTGTATGTAGATGTATACATGCAGAGTCACACATTCACCTGTCCTCCTATGGGGTGCAGCCTCCCTGCTCTCTCCTCCTCTGGGGGACACATAACGCACCGACGTCTCTTCCAGGTACTTATCCACTGGGTCTGGGCACACTGAAAGGAATGCTTTTGGTTAGTGACTTAATATTAAAATGTAACGTAAATTGTAAATTATTAACTAAGAAAACACAGAAAGTGTGTTTTCAAGAGGATGGTGAAAAGGGGGAAATTTTTTTTGGAATAACATTTTGGAGATTGACAACCTAAGTTTTTCTGTCTTGACGCCAATACATTTTGTTTGCTCTTTCATTTTCAATAGAATTTTAGTGGGCATGAGAAAGACAAAGGTTGAGAAGGACACCACCACTCACCGGTCTGTCTCTTCCTGAGTGTGACGTAGGGCAGCAGGTCGTGGCGTGTGATGATGCGGAGCAGCTGCAGGACGTGTCTGAAGTTGGTCTCATCACAGCGCCCCTGGCGCTCCAGAGCTAGCAGGAAGTCCTGGCCGCTCCTGATGCCTCCGCGCTCATACTCGTCGATGACGTCCACGAACAGGAAGGAGAGCACTCGCACGTCGCGGTGCGTGAGCTGGGCTCCCACTATGTCAAACATGCGGTGTAGTGAGTACAAGCCGTAAGAGTTGTCTACGGCCTCCTCAGGCCAGTGTTCGAAGCGTCCCGACGAGTGCCTCCTGGGGGTGGCAGAGTTAGTGCAGGAGGCCGAGGCGCCCCTGTTCACTGCCACTCCACTGGAGGTCCCCACCGATGAGGACCCCACACCACCCATCAGACCTCTGTGGGGGGCAAGGTGCCCCGCAGCACTACTCTGAGTAGAGTCCAGCTGGTTTGGATTAATGTGAGGTCTACCGTGGTGAGCTGACGAGTTCTGGGGGACGAGGAGGGGAGGGTTGACGTTTGCATTGGGGAGGAGATGCTGCTGTGAGGTCATCACTTTGTGTTAGGGGTGGACGATGACAACGGGATGCAGAAATCCCAACAACTTCTATGTTGTGTCTGAATACTTTAACTGCTTTCCTACAAAAAAAAGAGGGACAAAACACTTCACACCTGGCAAAACAGTAAAAGATCGGAACTGAAAGAGAGCATAAACTCAAACAATCTCAAACAAAGGAATGACTTTTAACATGAAATTAGGTTGATTATCTACACTTAAGTTTCAGCATCTAGATAGGTAACTAAGCTCTCTCTACTGTGTAGCTAAACTACTAACGTTAACGTTAGTGTCTACCAAGTCTATAGCTAGCAAGCTAACCAGACTGCAAGTTCCTAATGTAATGATAACAGCTAGCTTCTAGGCCAAATCATATTGCCCGGTTTATCCTTTTAAAATAAGAATAACACTTATTTGAGTAAGGGAAACAAATGTACACAACATCAGTGATGATATCAGTGACGTAACTCTCTAACTAAGTTTACTAAACATCAACATGGAAAATGGGCAATGATGACTGGCTTTCTAGGCTAGCTCAATGCACCAATCCAACAACAACGTAGCTACAGTAGGTAGCTAGCGCCATTCAGACAGGCAGAGGTCCAAGCTAGCTGGCTAGCTATATACAATAGCATAGCCAGTATATAGATCATCTTTGGTATAACTAGCTAACGTTAATCACAACAGTCAGGAAGCTAGCTAGGTAACGTTAGTTCTTGTTAACAACAATGACCATCTAACGTTACAGTCAGTACAGTAGCTACTAGTTAGTTAAGTTAGCTACATGAGGTCATTGTTCAATTTCCCTAACCCTAAATAACTAGCTAACGTTAGCTGGATAAACCACCCAGATAACTGGCTAACCACCAAGCTACAAGCAGCTTGTTATTGTGGAAACGTAGTTAACGTTAGCTAACAAGTAGCTGGTATGTAGCTAGCTAGCTAACGCGTTACATCAACTCGTTTAAATTGTAATTAACTAACGTTAGCTAGCTTGCTAAACGTTATTTAGTTACACACAACAACAAAAAAGTGGTCACAATAAATTAAACGACACTATCGGTAGCTAGCTAATGTTTGCTTAGGGGCTGGTTTGCTTATGCTAGCTAGTTGGCTAACTTTAGCAATGTAGATAACTAGTGCTAACAATGTTTACCTTAGCTACGTTACCTTAAGTTAATAACGTTAGCTACATTGATTCAAAATAAATCAACTTGAAAGACCGTACCTACTTACTTAACGTTCTTTGTGGAATGCTAAGCTCCTTCAAGATCAGAAAACACAATTATGGTGGATAATGTCAATATTTCCAGAGGCTAACAATTAGCATGCCCATTTTCCTTTCTCAGCTAAAATGAAAGAATATCCGGTACACAGTGGGATTCACATCCAGGTTATTAATTCAGGCCCTGTTAGAATACTTGTAAACCAGACAGTCTTTGCTTGTAAAGTGCATCCTTCCTTCCTTCCTCTCTCTCTTGAACTAATCTTTCATGTAAACATGAAATTGATCCTTTGTTTATGACAACATAAACAGGAGTATGTTTTTGGGTTATGAAAGGTGATATGCAGCTCATAACGGAGGCATTTACAAATTAGGCTTCAAGATGCGTAGCCTATGACAGCAGGACATCTTTCTGATCGCACCTATACTATACATGTAATTCAATATAGCCTACACAGTATTCACAGTATATATGATGGGGATTTTAATCTTTGTTTATACAGGTACCGGTAAGTAAATTAAGAAACAATTATTGTTTACAATGACAACTTGTCCGTTGAAACAAGAACCTATTTGAAAAAGAAAGTAACAGGCTGACGTGGAGAGAGTGAGCTGTACTTGGGCTCGATCCATGGATTCTGCGGTGCAGAGACGAGAGCTGTACTCCCTGCGCCACAAAAGCTTATGCCTAAGGGCTGAGGCAGAGCATCTTTCCATTCTCACCAAACCCCAAATGGCAACAGTTCCCTACAAAGGCCATCCCACAGCTACCACCAATGTAGCCTAATATGCACTATACTTTACTTGTGGTTATTATAAAATAATATAGACACAGGCTACTGATTGAGGATGAATCCACACTGGAAGCTTTACTTCTTAACACACACTACAGTTGCCCTGTAGGACACCTCATCCAAATACCACAAACATATCACAACAAAATCATCCACAACTCAAATGCCAAATGATTTCATATTGCTCTGCTCCATTGGCAACATTTAGCACATTAAGTCAAATAGATCCCGGTTTACTAAATAGATAGACACAATGTCTTGGAAAACATCTGTCCCGTCTTCACACTCCTTATCCTTAGTTCTTCCCAGAATAAAAAAAAAAAAAACTCAAATGTGCTTCTCAAATGTATTTATTTTATGAGTACTTTGTGCCCAGAATGTCCTTGATATGCATCTCTAACTTTGGTCCCGGCAGCTATTGGATGTACATGTTTTTGTTCCAGCCCAGCACTTACACACCTGATTCAATTTCCAGAACTGGAGATGGAGACCCCAGTTCAACTGTATATGTATGTTTCAACTGACCTGGTTGCACACAGCTTCTCCATATCGTACAAATGAGGCAAAGTGTTCACAGTTGAGTGAGAATAGTCGGTATGGGAACTCTGTGTTCATCAGAGCATCACACCTCTGCCTCATATTTTCCTGTGATGAGGGCTGGTGGCCATGTTTGTTGTTGCTGATCATCACATGAACTCCTTTGGGCACGGTGACCTCCATCAGATGCATCCTGTGTATCTTGGTCTGCCCAAGAAGGAGGTCACCACACACAGGAAATGCTGCTTGCAGGTCATGGCGGATGGTACTCATCAGCCGCCCCTCATCTAGGATCAAAGCAGTTTGGGAATAAAGATGCACTTGAGGGTCATAAAATAGTAATTACATAAAAAGAGTTGTCAATTTGTTGACTCAAGACTTTATGGGTATCATTAACTCTAAATATCAATATATGAACTCTGTAATCTTCATCATATACACCCCAATGTGAGTATCCAATAGGGTAAGATAATTCGATCAAGTCTCCAAACTTGGCAGCTGACACAATTTCATCAATCTGTACAGAACATACCATAAGCAATGCATTCAAAACTCCACCCTGTGACAGTTTACCTATCCGGTTTAGGAGCAGGTTTGACAACATTGTAGACGCAGGTGCAGGTTGGTAAATGATTTCACACAATAGTTCTTGCAATTTTCCAACATTCAATCAGTAGGCTTACTGTAGTTGAGTTATAGACTTGCAGTGCTGATTTTTTTTTTTTTTTAAGACACATCATACAGTGCCTTCAGAAAGTATTCACACCCCTCGACCTTTTCCACATTTTGTTGGTGTTACAGTCTGAAATTAAATTGCGATGTTTTGTCACTGGCCAACACACAATACCCCATAATGTCAAAGTGGAAATATGTTTTTAGACATTTTTACAAATAAATTAAAAATGAAAAGCTGAAATGTCTTGAGTCAATAAGTATTCAACCCCATTGTTATGGCATGCATAAATAAGGTCAGGAGTAAAAATGTGCTTAACAAGTCACATAATAAGTTACATGGACTCACTCCGTGTGCAATAATAGTGTTTAACATGATTTTTGAATGACTACCACATCTCTGTACCCCACTCATTTAATTATCTATATGGTCCGTCAGTTGAGCAGTGAATTACAAACACAGATTCAACCACACAGACCAGGGAAGTTTTCCAATGCGTCACAAAGAAGGCCACCTATTGGTAAAAAAAAAAAAAAAAAAAAAATCATACATTGAATATCCCTTTGAGCATGGTGAAGTTATTAATTACACTTTGGGTGGTGTATCAATACACCCAGTCACTACAAATATACAGGCATCCTTCCTAATTCAGTTGCCGGAGGGGAAGGAAACCGGTCAGGAATTGCACCATAAGGCCAATGGTGACTTTAAAACAGTTACAGAGTTTAATGGCTGTGATAGTTGAAAACTTTGGATGGTTCAACAACATTGTAGTTACTCCACAATACTAACCTAATTGACAGAGTGAAGAAAAGGAAGCCTGTACAGAATACAAATATTCCAAAACGTGCATCCTGTTTGCAATAAGGCACTAAAGTAAAACTGCAAAAAATGTGGCAAAGAAATTAACTTCATGTCCTAAATACAAAGCGTTTGTTTGGAGCAAATCCAACACAACACATCACTAAGTATCACTCTTCAAATGTTCAAGCATTGTGGTGGCTGCATCATGTTATGGGTATGCTTGTCATCGGCAAGGACTAGGGAGTTTTTTTTATGATACAAAAAACAGAATAGAGTTAAGCACGGGAAAAATCCTAGTGGAAAACCTGGTTCAGTCTGCTTTCCGACAGACACTGGAAGACGAATTCACCTTTCAGGAGGACAATAACTTAAAACACAAGGCCAAATATACACTGGAGTTGCTTACCAATACGACATTGAATGTTGCTGAGTGGACTAGTTACAGTTTTGACTTAAAATCGGCTTGAGAATCTATGGCAAGACTTGAAAATGGCTGTCTAGCAATGATCAACAACCAACTTGACAGAGCTTGAAGAATTTTAAAAAGAATAATGTGCAAATATTGTACAATCCAGGTGTGCAGAGCACTTAGAGACTTAACCAGAAAGACTCACAGCTGTAATCGCTGCCAAAGGTGAATCTAACATTTATTGACTCAGGGGGTTGAATACTTATCTAATCAAGATATATTAGTGGTTTATTATTCATTACTTTATTTTTTTTAACAAATGTTAGAATTCTTCTTCCACTTTGACATTACATAGTACTTTGTGTAGATCGATGACAAAAAATGACAATTCAATTAATTTTAATCGAACTTTGTAACACAAAACATTTAGGAAAAAGTCAAGGGGCGTGAATACTTTCTGAAGGCATTATACATTATACATTTACGTCATTTAGCAGACGCTCTTATCCAGAGCGACTTACAGTTAGTGAGTGCATACATTTTTATTTTTCATACTGGAATCGAACCCACAACCCTGGTGTTGCAAATGCCACACTCTACCAACTGAGCTACATCCCTGCCGGCCATTCCCTCCCCTACCCTGGACGACACTGGGCCGCCCCTTGGGTCTCCCAGTCGCGGCCGGCTACGACAGAGCCTGGATATGAACCAGGATTTCTAGTGGCACAGCTAGCACTGCGATGCAGTGCCTTAGACCACTGCAACCACTCGGGAGGACATTATAGGACATTATATTATAGGCCTACATCTCATCTGTCATTTAACGACACTGTAGGCTACATAGGCCCACTATTTTGTAAAGTTGGTAGTTGGTCAAGAAATAAACTATAAGAGTGATTTATTAATAACCTGCTTTCAAAACATAATACACACACAAGGAAAGATTTACCCAAGTTCTGGAGGTGCACATTCCTTACCCGCAGCAGAAAGATAGGCTACAGTCACAGAGTACAGTAAAGCTGACAGGTGTTCTCGCGCGTTAATTAAAATGCAAATTGGTCAAATGTAAATTACATTTACAAACGAATTTCATCATCACTGACTGCTGTAGAACGCAATATTTTCTTAGTACATTAGGCTATGGTAAAATATATTATAGCTTACCTGCTGCGTGTAGTCCATTCTTGTGTCAATAGTTTTGACAACTAAATCTTAGCAGGTTTGGTGGCAGGGCGTGTTTTTCGAGTTTAAGGGAAAGTCGTTTGTAAAAAATGTTTAAGTGTCAGTGACTCATTAATGTTTGGCTAGTATTTATATTATTGTCAGGCTGAAGCCTATTAAAACATTAGCCAGTCTGCAAGAATATTGAGAATATTCTAATAGGTAGGATAAAGTAGTAGAATATTGAATTTGTTGAAAAAATCACAAGATTTCATAAAAAGGTAGGCAAAATGTATTCTAAATAATTTCCAATAAGCCTATTCAATGTTCAACTCCATACAAAATGCAAACACATCATGACAACAAAATGTTTTCCACAAATTTTATGAGTGATCAATTCTTCTGAAGGTGCTTAAAGCTTTCAGCTGACAGTTTCTTTTATATCCAAAACATGAGATCAGTTGTCAGATCAAAGGTCAGTTGAGATCAAACAAAAACAAACAAACAAAATTACAGAGAATCACAAATTGCTATGGACCAGGTTAATTGAAAGTAGGCCTGGGTCATTCCACAAAATGAGTCCCTTTTGAGTATGTTAACTTGGTGAAAAAAACAAAAACAGTTTTATTTCAACTAATTTAAACAACAGATGTTCAACTTAATAAAAAACGTGTTTTCCCATCTCAAGAGGTTAAATAAAAAAATACTATAGTAAGTGCCTATTAAGTGCCAAATAAAGTAACAGGGTTGCATAACAGGGTTGATTATTTAATCTTAAATCAGCCATAAATCCCCTTGTGACAGGAAGCTTGTTGTGTGAAACAGGGAGGGGCAATTAAATGAAAGCATCACAAAAAATGTAAGTTGTAAAACATTTCCACTAGCCTGTCTATGTATGGGTAACAGGGTTGACGTGTTATGCTCGACCCATTCAGTTTTCCACCACAAAACTCCAGAAAATGGCAAAAAAAGTACCTGCTTTTATACTATGAGGATAGTTTCACCATATTAGAGCAAGAGTTCAGTTCACGTAACATGGTTGACCTTAAAATGAGGGGCAGGTTTTTTTCTTCCTTAAAATTATTCAATAATCACATGAAATAAATAATAATCTTCAGAAATGACTTTGTCAAGCAACGAAAATAACCAAGGCTATGATGGTGAAAACTATGGAAAATGTTGGGGTTAAGTGGGTTAAACTCTTCCTTCAAGTCACAGAGTGCACATAGGGACATGTCAAAATGCAGAATGTTGGCACTTTAGCAAGTCTTTATTCATAAAAATAAATAAAAATGTCCACGTGCTCTATATTAAAGGGCACTTAATTTAATATAACAGGCTATTAAAATGCAATATTGGTGTAGAATTTCTACTTAAAATATCAAAGGGACGCAAAAGGGACTCATTTTGTGAAACAACCCACCTAAGATTTTACAAAAAACAAAAGTCTTATCGAAATACATTTGATTGATTGATTGATTGAAATGATGAGGATGATCCAAATTTTTTTCCAATATACAATATCACCCACCCCATGCATGCAAAACAGACTTAAGTTATTTTAGTTATCTATCTTTTACGCTACGTCAGACTATTAATGAATTGTTTTTGAACTGTATAACAAAGTTATTTATTTTACATCTGAGTTGCATTTATTCCTCCCCAACTGGTGCCTCTCATGCACTACTTTTTGTGGTTGCCAAACTGCACAGCCATCCTGTTGCTGACACAGCGGAAGGTGGCCGGCTCCACCTCCCAGTAGTTGATTGGGTTATCAAAGAGACTGATCCCGTTGTAGTAAGTCTTCTTCACACCAAAGCCCTCAGGGCAGAAGTCATTCACCTCAACCTGGCTGATGTTGTTGGAGTGAAGGTAGACCACCTGTTTAAAAAACATTACATATATCGACTGTTATCAACATAACATATCAAGTGAAATCACCAATATTGATGTGATTGATGCTGCTTCACAACCTCCTCCACACTTTACCTGCAGATACTTCATTCCAGCAAGGCCTCCAGGGACATTGGGGATCCGGTTGTTCTCTAGATGCAGCTCTCTCAGGTTTTGCAGGTAATACAGGCTGCCGTGCTCAATGTGGCGAATATGATTGTAGCCTAGACCCAACCTAACACACACACACGCATGCGGATACGCACACACACACACACACATTGAAATCGAGTGATTGATGAGACAATGAAGGTCAGACCAACTAGAGAAGGGGTCCCTAATTACATTCAGCCGTGGGCCGATTTTCCTTGAGCGAATGGTCGGGCGGTCGAAACATAGTTATAAATAATTTGTACACAGCAGATTGACCACAATAATCCCAAACAGATATTGTATTTGACAAAAACAGAATCATTTCAAACATTGATGATTACATTGGGATACGATCACATATGCCTCTCTATTTATGCGTGGGAATACTTGGAATCAGATTTCCTAAATCAAAATCACTTTCAGCTAATTTCCTGGTGATTTTACAGTCTTTTATGTCCAAGAACAAAAATGATATATAAAAAAATCTCTCAGATGCTCACTTCTTATCTTCAAAGGAAAATATTTATAAAGAAAATTAAAAAGCATATAAGTAACAACAGCATAATAGAAGAGTAATTGTTCAAGTTGCACAACAGAAACGGTGTCGGGTATCATCATGATAGTGGCACCCTCTAATTCGGCCCGCGGGTGATTTTATTTTGCCCCCCAAGTTTTCTGAGCAAAGAAAAAATTATATATAGATCTACAGCATTCATAAACTCCCCATAAATGCATTATGCGATGGACTTTTAGAAACTCTCAGACATTGAACACCCTCTTGTAAAGCTACTTGTCCAGACCTACCTGTGCAAACCCTCATATTGCCTTAGGTCTTCTAGTTCAATGGCTTGAATTTGATTCTGATCCAAATGCAACTCATGTAGACCCTCAGGGAGATCTGGAAGTTGAAGGAAAACAGGTGACCAATAGATTCAAATGATTTTTCAGTGTAAATGTGTGGGAAGTTTCAATGAAACAAATATTGCCCTGCAGCTTCGCAGAGCACTCCAAATAACATTATTGTAAAGGTTATGCCATGCTTTCCACCTTTAGGGATGCCTGTGAGTTTTGCCTCAGAAATGCGAAGGAAGGTAAGTTTGAGTCCATCAAAGGCTCCAGGCTCCAAACCACTGTTCTGAATAGGATTCCTCCCCAACTCTGTGGAAGAAAAGTATGTGTTTAAGTCAATGCCAATACCTGCTCCAGTACTGAAGTGGCTAGATGTACACTTCGAAGACCTTTTCCACCCAAAAAAAGAAAAAAAAACTACCTTTGAATCTGGTGCTAACACAGTAAATCTGGCCTAAGTTCTAACTATAGCTTGTCATCTCACCAATGCAATTCATGCTGCCCAGGCCAGAGAAAGCCCCGGCCGCCACCCTCTTGATGCGGTTGTCATGGATGCGCAGCTCCACCAGGGAGGAGGGCAGGTTCTTGGGCACGGCTGTCAACTGGTTGTGGGAGAAGTAGAGCTTTTGCATCCTTTTTAGGGGCATGAAGGCCCGCGGGTGCACCCTGGAGATCTTGTTATTCACCAACACCAGAGCCTGAGAAAGGAGGGATAGGTCATGAGGAGACCAGCCACCCCGACCCAAAAGAAATATAGACCATCGCTTATAGAATAATACAAGCACTGTTTTCATTGTAATTCTAAACTATGATATATTCAAACACAGATACGAATCAACCCATTACCATTATAGAAAAAGTTATGTTTTATATATTGTACACAATATATTATTTGAAGAGACATCGTTAAAAGTGTGTATATTTTCAGTATGGACACTGAAAGGGGGCGCTACTATGAAAAAAGCAAAGACAGACAAGTGACGTTTCCTTCTATTGAAATGCCAGAACTCTCTTCCACCATTTGTATTTTGACTGTTAGTGCTCACATAGAGGTTGCTGAGTCCCTTGAAGTCATCCTCTCTTATCTCGGTGATCTGGTTGCTTTGAAGGTCCAGGAGCCTGGTCTCCGGGGGGATGTCATATGGCACATAGTGTAAACCTGCAGATCAAACTACAAGAGATGAACTTACCTGCTTGACTTTCCACACTTTTCCACATTCTGTCAGTTCACAATCATTACAGTTCAGTTGTAATATAAACAATTGTTATTGTTGCTTAACAGTTTTTTTCAATCTATGAATCATGACAATATACCTCTTGGACACACACAGTATGTTCTCAATCTTAAAGTTATATCTGGATAAATCCACAAGTTAGAATTTATCTTCATACTGTAATTTGGTAAATGCTGAGTAATTCTCTAGGCTATGGTTTGTACGGACATGTTGCACTTTGTTGTTGTTTGTGTGTGTGCTGTCACCATATAATTAGGAAGAAACCAGATGGTCAAGACTCCACGTAGCACTAAAAAGTAACGTGCAGTTGTGCAGTGTGACTGCTGTCTACACATTAACAATTGTATATTTGGTGTGAAGAATCATTTGGAGAGAATATAATATTGTGACATTGTATCTCTTAACTCACCCAAGTCAGAGCACTGCACAACCTTCTGGTTACACTGACAGCCGAATGGGCAAGTAGGCTGTTCTGGTTTGTAATATTCTGGTTTGTAGTATTCCTCAACTGCTGAGCCCTCCTCTTCATCATTCATCATCATCATCATCAGCCCCTCTACGTCAATGCTCTTCCCAAAGTCCAAGAAGCCCTTCTGCTCAAAGGGCAGTGCCAGAGAGGGGGTGGGTAGAGGTGTAGCACACAGCAGGAGAAGGACAACAGAGAAGGGAAGCATGGCTGGGCCTTTTGTTGAAGAGAAATCACAAGAGGAAGACAAAAAAAGCACAAGGAAAATGAGCAACAGTCATTAAAGAGCCACAGTTATGAATCCAGCAACTATCTAACTAAATTCCTGTAGCCTACAATTGGAGAGTTGCTCCTCAATGTAAAAAATCGATTAACTACCAGTTAGAAAATAAAACAATACACACACAGAGGCAGTTGCTGGTTGTTTTATTCTTAGTGGATGCTGTATTTTCCCTTTAAGTGGCGGGATAGTACAAAATGGTTTATTTTGGGTATATATCTTAAATATAATTTGCTTAGCTCACCAGGAGTGGTTGGATTGTAATTGTATACACTGTAGATCTCAAATGTTGAATAAGAAGAAGTTTAAAATAACTAAAATCTCTCTCTCTGTTCGTCACACACACACACACACAAACACACACACACACACACACACACACACACACACACACACACACACACACACACACACACACACACACACACACACACACACACACACACACACACACACACACACACACACACACACCAAACCTATAGCTAGCATTGTGTTACAGTTCACTCCTCCAGTCCAGAGTAATCTCATAGTCAACATTGCCACTCCAGAGCAAAAGTCAGTCTAAAACAAATAGTAACCAGCGACAAAGAGTGAAATACACCCTGGCTTTCATACATCTGTTTGTTAGGCTTCATCCTCAAGATTTGATCTATCATATATGTCATAGGCGTTCTCACTTAAAAGCCAGTCTTACTCTTCCCATCAATTTCGTGGTTGGCATAAGAGGCAGAAAATCATGAACCATGGATACTATGTTGTCTTAGGTCTGTAACTACTACAGTGTGTGCCATCTGTCAATATGCATTAGCAGGATTGTACTGCAAACTATCAATAGATGCCCTAAGGTAATTTGGGATAATCTCGGATAAGTCTTCAGTTCGAGGTTTCTTGTTGAAAATAAGAAAAGCATTGAATTGGTTTGTTCTTCAAAGTTATTTTTTCATATGAGCAAAGAGTCTTTACTCTGGAGTTTGACTTTTCCCTGCCTTTGCCACGTGTTGTGAAAGGCCTGCTTCCTCCCTGTCTCAGGAGTCAAACTCCCACACCCTTTACCACAGTAAGGCCCTAGAAGCCACATAACTGGCTGGTCTCAGGAAAGGTTTTTTATAGACAAAGAGCTGGATTCAATCCGTTTTGCAGAAGTATTGTGGAAGATCCGCATTATAGCTTGATTTAAATTTTGTTCCCACGTTTGTGGAGACTACATTCACGGTAAAACACTGCATATGTCGGTTCATTTGGAAATTACCTTTACATTTTTATGTGGATCTTCTGCGATACTTCTGAGATACGGATTGAATCCAGCCCCCACTCTGTCACAGCCACTCTTTTCCCAAAACATAAGCTATTTCAGCATAGGGTCCAACCTGGACCCAGGGGTAGACGTAACATAGTAAAAGTAAATGATTATGATATGTTATGTTTCGTATGGTATGTATTAATTTGTGGCTGTCCATCATCCATTTCGTATGATATGTTATGAATTACAATTTGTAGGATATGTTACGAATTGCAATTCATACAATATGTTACGAATTGCAATTCTTACAATATGTTACGAATTCCGATTTGTTGTGGCTAACGTTGCAAAGCTGTTAATTAGCTAAAATGTTTTTGCCTTAAGTAACCTTCTGTCTTATGTAACCAGACATTTACTATGTTACATTTAGTCTATGAGACCAGGCTGGAGGGTCAAATTTATAAATACAGTGAATGAGATGTATGACATACACAAAAATGACTTATTTGCTGTTAAATTAAATTCTTAGTCTATCATTTTGTAATAGACTTGTCTCCCTGCAGTGAGCACTTTAACTACAGTATGGGGTGGCTCGAAGTTTTGAATGTTTATGAAATTGTCCATGTTTGTTATGTCTCAAGGGGAATTGATCAACTATGGCCAAAGCTATAAAAGGAATATAGAATTTGTAGGCTAGGGAGGGTTGTGTCGACCCAGAAGGCTAAAACAAATAATTTAAAACGTAATAGTCCATTTCAAATGTTATATATTACTTTAACAATAAAAAATGTTTCAAATGCAGAATATTCAACCAACTGTGAAATAAACTTGTAGCATATAGTGTCCTCTTACTGTAAATGATACTGAATATACGATCATCTTTAAGTCAAGAAGCTCAAATAAATGTACTATGTCAGTCATAATGAAACAGGAAGACACTTACCGTTTCAGTAAAAAAAAAAAAAGTAAGTTTAGAGGTTTAATTTTTTTAAATAAAGATGAATTAAACCTCATAAACTGATATGCAGGACAAGTGTTTTATTCCATGGGATGATCCTTTATCTGTGAGTCCATCTGCCAGCAGCGTCAGAGCTCTGCACAGCACCACGGAAGGAGTTACCAAAAGGAAAAAAACTAGTATTTTAAGCCATAACCAATAATTGGTCCAGTCCCCTTTTCGTTGCTGTGTGTGTGTGTGTGTGACAAACAGAGAGAGAGACATTTTAGTTTGAGATCTACAGTATATACACCAATTACAATCCAACCACTCCTGGTGAGCTAAGCACATTTTATTTAAGATATATGCCCAAAATAAACCATTTTGAACTATGCCACCACTTAAAGGGCAAATACAGCATCCACTAAGGATAAAACAACCAGCAACTGCCTCTACCCAGTGCTGCACATGTAGATTGTTAGAGTTACTAAGATCTACTCAGGCTATTTAAAGTAACTATAGACAATGAATAGCAATTATTTAATAGTGAATGTTTTATTTTCAAAATGTTTCTTTACACAAGTTGGTCACAAAGTTGAAACAGTTGTTCATCAATTCATAAAAAACAACAGTGAGTGTAGTGTAGAGGGCACCTGGACATCTTTGGCTCTCACTACTGTCAAGTAGCTACCTTGATCTCCCTGGGTAACTGCACATTCTTTTTCTTTCGATACATGCTACTATCAAGCAAGATTAAAGTAAAACCTAACACTGCCTTACAGAGTGAATCTGTGAAACAGGTAAAAGACAAACACATAATCTTTCTTTTTACTTGTGATAATGAAGCCCACTCACAAAGGGCTGGTTGCATAAACATTGCCCTAGACTTATGGTAAGACTTAGGATAGAAGTCTAAGTTCACCTGTTGCATACAGCGTGGGTATCATAAGTCTGAATAACCTAATCACAACTCATCAGAGAAGAAGATAATCAGAGACAGACTCAGAGGAAATGATGTAATGAGGCACGCCGACTAGGTCAAACCCAGGACAAACTGACGGGGTGGAAGAAAGGGGGGGAAAAAGAAGGAGGGAGGGGAGGAAGGGGGATACTAGTAATCTTCATGGTGGTAATCTTCCTCGTGACTCTGGGGCCGTAGTATGATGCTGTGGTAGGTCTTGATGCAGGAGAGGGCGGTGGGCGGGATGAGGCGCCGGTCAATCAGGTTGTACTCCAGGTGAATGGAAACTAGAGGCGAGTCTTCGCTCAGGCGCGTGTCACACAGAGAGTTCAGAGGAACGTACCTGCAGGGAAGAGAAAAAAACAGACATTTAGACAGATGATGGACACTTAGTGACCACCGACAGAAAGACAGAATACTCAGACAAGACAGAAGGACCTTTGATCCGACTAAAGGAAATAACAACTGAGAGAGAAACAAAATTACACATTGAGATTCACAATAGATTTGGATGGGCCATTATGGTTAGACTGCATGTGGCTAACTGGCTATCTCTATTTCGAAAAAAGAGTACAGTACTGTGCTCTTCAAAAAAGTTGGTTCATCTCCCAGTGGGAGGAAGAGGACAGAGAGAGGAACTTAGTTATGTTAGATAATGTTGTAGTTGAGCTACCAGATAACTTTGTGGTTGAGTTACCTGATAACGCTGAGGTTGACTTACCAGATAACATTGTGGTTGAGTAGTTTGTTAACGTTGTGGTTGAGTTACCTGATAACATTGTGGTTGAGGCGGAGGAGCTGCAGGCTCTTGAGCTTCAGTAGCCCCCTTGGGATGGAGCGAAGCTGGTTGTGGTCCAGCAGGAGTTCAGTCAGAGAGTTGTACAGACCCAGGAATGATACATTATCAATGCCGTCATTGCTTAGCCTGTTGTGGGACAGGTGAAGGAGGTCCAACCCCGGTTTCATGTGGCCAAACACGTAGCCAGGGATCCGCTCAATCTGGTTGTGGTGCAGGTGGAGCTGCTTTAGGCCCACAGGGAGGAAGGAGGGAACATGCACCAGCTTATTGTGCGACAGATCCAACGACTCCAACTTTCTGAAATGGTAGGGAAAATACAGGGAGATATTTTGCTCAATATATGAAAAGACATGAAGAGATAGAAGGTAATGAATATACTGCATTATGTCTCCAATTGACTGAGATTAAAAGGGGACTTTTTCCATTTTAGGACTATATTACTAGTCCACCTTTCCTTTAGAAGGCTGGTTCAATGTTTCCCAATCTTTCACCAGAGGGTTCCATCTTATCCATCACATCTATGCCACGACTTTGTAGGAGTTTCAAACCACTAAGAGCCTTCATACAAAGGCAGATGGCCAGCAGTCCCTCCCTTTGGGCTTGACTCTCTCCACAACCTATCATAAAGCTGGACTGTTTCTGCTGATCCGCTGTGTAGCCAGCCACATCAGCACGTCCCAAAACAATATCTTCTGTTGCTTTTCCCTCTCTTCTCTTTTTTCCCCTTTCTCCTTTTCTTCAAATATGCAATTAAAATTGTGCCCTGCAAACATTATATTTTCCGCTCATTATTGCTACTCAAACTGGGAGATCAACACATGCACTGAGTGCCAGATGAATTACACCATTTAGAGTTTTGCTTAAGAATCATGTATGCAATCATGTTTATATTCATGCATTTCACTACATTGTTTGTAAAAAAAATTATATTCAATACATTCATAAAGTAAATACAGAGGTCACTTTCCTGCAAGATCTGAAATACTGTATGTTAGTATTAAAAGACAACAAGAATCTAGAATAGGAATAAAATGTGTTCCAATATTCCCCTCAAGGTGGCGATCAAAACCAGAGTAGCAGTAATCAGCAATCATTGCACTGAACAATAACCTCCTAAATGCTGCAAAAGTAAGACTGGAGAGCGGTTGGGTTGTTGGGACTTACAACAGGTTTATCCAGGCCCTTGGGGCTATGCGGTCCTCCCGGATCTTGTTATGACTGAGGTCCAGAAACCTGAGGTTGACGGTCTTGTTAAGGATCCTCTCATGCACCTCTTCTATTCTGTTATCCGACAGGTGAAGTGTCTGGAAATACAAGCAGCAAAACACCTTGAGTGTCCGTGTTGTTAGGGGTTCAGGGGGACCTACTGTGTTGTTAGGGGGGTGAGGGGGACCTACTGTGTTGTTAGGGGGGTGAGGGGGACCTACTGTGTTGTTAGGGGGGTGAGGGGGACCTAATCAGTCTACACACTACAGATCGGGAGTTTGTGATATGTGTGGACCAAGCTCGCAATTACAAAAAAAACCTGCATGTTTAGTAAAACATCAGAAGCCTCTGTCATGTTACTACATTATTGAAGAGTCTGTGGACTATACCAAGACGTATTTCATTTATTATACATATTTTTACTTTATTCAGACAGTGGGGAAATTAGGTGTGGAGATAGGCAAGTGGGGAAAACTGTGGGAAGGCTGGACGCAAGGATTGAACCCTGGTCTCCAGTGGGGAGTTGTATATGTGACATGTGCCGGGGAGTGTTACCACGCCATCATCGCTCTGCACCCAAGACACATTTCAAATAAGGGAACGTTTGATTGACCCACATGTCTCAGAAAGTCATGCCTCCCCAAGCTAAACTCCTCTGTTGGATTGAGGCTACTTACTGCATGTCATTGGCTCTTGCATGCTCACTACAATGGCACCACAGGCACCTTGTCCAATCACTGACCTGCAGGGTCGTAGGAAGCCCCGAGGGGATGGCCCGGAACTTGTTGTCCTCCAGTCGCAGATAGATTAGTTTCTTCAGGGGCCGGAAGGTCAAAGGTGACACATTCCCATCGTGGAAGTGGTTATCCTCAAGCTCCAGAGTCAGCAGTTTGGACAAACCTGAAGAGAGACACGTTTTCAAATCGCAACACGACAATATCAACATGTCAATAATATCCAATGTAGTTACTTGACTTGTTTTCCAGATATTTGTTGCCAAATAGGCTATGCCAACAATGCTAAAGAACTATTCTGCACATCCTATCAGAACAAAGCTTTGTACTCTTTCTCTCTCTCTCTCTCTCTCTCTCTCTCTCTCTCTCTCTCTCTCTCTCTCTCTCTCTCTCTCTCTCTCTCTCTCTCTCTCTCTCTCTCTCTCTCTCTCTCTCTCTCTCTCTCTCTGTAAATCTCACAATCATATACCTTTAAAGCTGCTAGGTGTGAGGCCCAGGATCTTGTTGTCATTGATCTTCAGCTCCACCAGGGACGGCGGTAGAAACGAGGGGACTTTGGTCAGATTGTTGCCATCTAGATTCAGCCTCCTCAGCTTGGTTAGGATCTGAAACAAGCCAGGAACAGAGCCAAGAGACCAGGCCCCCTCCATTAGAACAAAGACTGAATTCTAACTGCTGAAGATGTACCAATGTCCACTCTATCTCTCAATATTATTTCTCCAAGGCGCCAATGAAACACCTTGTCTATTTTATTAGATTTTTTACAATTGCAACTCTGGTTATAAGGCGATAGTGACATAAGGCCCCAGGAGTTTTAAATGTAGTTCTGGCATCAGGGGAATTGATTGAATTTCAACCCTTGTCATATTGTCTGATGTTTTTCATGATGTGTTTTGTTATCTGACATTTCCCAGATTATGCAACAGCTAGTGAGATTCAACCCGTTCACCGGGGAGTTTCACTTGAGCTCTTGGCATAATGGGACCGACACTAAGTTGGGAACAGGGATTGGACTCTTGGCAAAAAATTGGTCGTATATAGCTTGACTGTACTGACAATACCCTAGTACTTATTGCAACACAGGGATTCAACCGTCCTGGGCCCCCAATGGTCGACTTCTGGTTTTTGCCCTAGCACTACACAGCTGATTCAAATAACCAACTCATCATCAATCTTTGATTATTTGAATCAACTTTGTAATGCTAGGACAAAAAACAAAACGTGCACCCGGGGGGGGAGGGGCAGAACCGAGTTTGGAAAACCCTGTTCTATAACACTACATGTTTATATTCTATCATAACAGACTGAGAGGAATCCAGGTAATGCAGCATGAGAATGGTCAATAGAGCCCTTAGTAACATGAGGCTGAGATATGTAGGTGGGTCTGGCGGCGCAGTAGAGGTCCAACTGGAACCAAAGCCAAATGTGTTGAGAAGAAATACGCTCCGAGACTCACCTGGAACAGGTCAGGGCTGATGGAGGAGTCGTCCAGCTTGTTCTTGCTCAGGTCCAGCCACTCCAGGTTGGGCAGCCCAGCCAGAGCCTGGGGAGGGATCTTACTGATCTTATTGTCTGATAAGAGAATAGAACACAAGCTGACCCAGCCACCTCAAACAGAGAAAAACCTGGGCCCTCATGCCATTGGACCTGCATTAGTGTTTATGCAGTATCTTTGTGTACAAACTATGTTTATATGCAACTGTGTATGCACCGCAAAGCACATTTGATTGTATTGAAGCCATTATAGATAAATCCTTTGCCTTCACGAAATTCAAACTGATTAAACATAGCTACCCATCTTAATAAACCATATTCTTGTCCCCCCTCTTGACTCTGCTAATTGTCCCTGTAAGGAACATGTGAGATCTCTGTATCTCCTCACCTGCCAGATAGAGGGTCTTGACCCCCTGGTCTGAGAGGATGGGGATGTGGGCCATGCCAGTGCTGCCACAGGTGATCAGAGACTCCAAGAGCAGGCAGCCAGCAGGGAGAGACTCCATGATGCTGTGTTTCCTGGGGAATGTGACCACAGGATGTTCCGGCCCCGGCGCCCTCGCCACGGGTTTCCTAGTGGTGGTCGTAGCCAGTCGGCCAGTCACCATGGTGACTGGTCTCCCCGTCGGTGCCACAGCCAGGTGCACGGTGGCCCTCATGGTGGATTTTCCCATGGCCCTGATGATGTAATTGTCATCGTCGTCATCATCATCATCATGCTCGTTGTGGTCGTGGTCATCGTGATCGTCATCATCATCGTCATCGTAGGGAAGGTATGGAAGGCTGACTTTGGTTATCTTCGGGCCACGCCTTTTGGCCACAGGGACCTCGGCCCTCCTGACCTCTGTCTTCACCACCACTTCCTGTTTTTTCACAGCTTCTTCTTGCTTCTTCTTCTGGGTGGCCACGGGTTTTACAACATAGACATCACACACAAAATATATACAATTATAATATATTTAAAATTATTATTCATTTGGTGACTCATTGCCCTCACAAATATCCCTGTCAGTCAATACTTAGTCATAAACGCAGGTTAGTGTTTTTCATCATGAATCTTGTTCTGTAGGCAGCTCTGCAAAGTGGTCACTAGCTGGCACAGCCACAAAGTCATAAAATCTGATTTTAAACCTAACCCTAACCTTAACCAGACTGCTAACCCTAATTCCTAACCCTAAATCGCCCAGTTCTGCCTCCAGGACAAGACTAATGACAATAAACGTCAACCTGCGTCATAAACATTTACATTTTAGTCATTTAGCAAACGCTCTTATGCAGAGCGACTTACAGTTAGTTAGTGAGTGCATACATTTTCATACTGGCCCCCTTGGCCCCCCGTGGGAATCAAACCCACAACCCTGGCGTTGCAAGCGCCATGCTCTACCAACTGAGCTACACGGGGCAAACAACATTTAAAGCATTGTTAGTTCATTTGCTGTGCAGGTCCTATAGCATTGCCCTCTTCATATTCCCGTGGGCACCCACCGCTTTCGCTGGAGTAACAGGCCGCTCCACCTTCTTCTGACTTCCTGCTCTTCTTTGGAGACTCTTCTTCCGCTTTGGGATCCCCTCTTTCTCCTCTGCATTAGGGGAGGGCTTCTTGGCTTTGGGAGCCACTGTCTGCTGGTTGTTTGAACCTGAGGGAAAGGGCAATATATGTTAAATTCACATTTATACAGTATATATGTACACATATATGTATGTTCAATTCCATGCCCTGATCAATTTGTACAATTTATGCAGCATGGACCATTTCAACTAGAAAGCTGCCATGAAATCTAATAACAACCAATAAGAGTATAATCGTTCAATAACAATCTACAACTTGAATGATGAACAATAGGAGTGAAGGCAGACGTACAAACTGGCTGCAGTGTAAATGTAGCTAGTAAACGTTTGTTATTTGAGCAGCTGCCAGCTTACCGGCGCAGGTGACAGAGTGACAGCTGACAGTTCCCATCTGACACTGACACACGAGGCAGGGCTGAGGCGACCACATGGCCCCGTCAAACAGGGACATCCCATTCACCGAGCACTGCCTGCTCCGTCCTGTAATAGACAGACAGACAGACAGACAGACAGACAGACAGACAGACAGACAGACAGACAGACAGACAGACAGACAGACAGACAGACAGACAGACAGACAGACAGACAGACAGACAGACAGACAGACAGACAGACAGACAGACAGACAGACAGACAGACAGACAGACAGACAGACCGACAGACAGACAGACAGACACAGCATTACTCACCTGCACGACAGATGATCCACAGGTAAAGTCCACATGAAACTGATACAAGCCCCACACTCCAATTCAGTCTTAGAAAACTGAATGCAGTTCTTTGTGAAGGATTGTGGACCACCCTTGACTTGGGTAAACACTCTATAATCACAAAAACTAGAAGCACTGGGAAGTATGCATGCATATTTCCTCCATCTAACTTTCCACCACCCTTTTCCAAGAGCATGTTGAAAACTTACCGAGGAGGAGAGCATCATCAGTATCATCCGGTTCAGATGAGTCAGTTACTACCAGGGGTTTGGACCTCCTGAGCTTCTCTGCTTTCCTGCTGGGCTTCCCATTGATTAGTGAGACTGCTGCACATAGGCAGAGACATAGGAGCGCTAATCTGTTCATGGTCAGCTCTGCCCTGGACTCTCCTGGTCAACCTTCCTTTGGACAGAAACCCTTTCAAAGTGAGTGCGAGGAATCTCAACTCCTGAAGGACCTTTATATACTCTCACCCCCAACAAATGATTTTTGGCCACACACCCCAGAAAAAACCCAAAGGTGAAAGGAGAGAGGAGTGGAGAGAGGAAGCAGGGGAGTGGGTGAAAAAATAAAAGGAAAACATTTTCAGGACAAAGACCCTCTTTCATTCCTCTTTAAGAAACCACCTACCTCTCCTCTCCCCACCTCTCACCTCTCCGCCCCCAGCCCCTGGTACACCAAACAAACCAATAGAGGAGGTCCAGTCAGAGAGTGCTTATTGGAGGGGTCAAATAATTACTGCGATGTCAACCAGCGGAGTGCTTTCTGACAGTTCCCATTCCCATTGGCCACGAGCCAGAAGAGGTATAGCCCGCTGTACGGTATGGCCAGGAAGGAAGAAAAAAAGTATCTCTCCAAGCTCTCCAATAGGAACCGAGCTGGAATGAAAGGCTGCTTTGAGTCCAACACCCCCCCAACCACCAACCACTACCAGCCAACAGGACAGGGGGACACAGAGACCACACTCCTGAGAAATTCTTGGATTTTCTTCCTCTGGTTTGCGACCCTGCTTGACCGCACGGTTTTCCCCCTGTAGTGTCCCAAGGGCCTTGCCTCTCCTCTGTTTACACACAATGCGTGTAACTAAGACAACCACAATGTATGTCGACAAAGTAGATTCATGTTTCCCGATATAGTAAGTTTAATATACACTTAACCTTATCTCTGGGAGTGGAGTGGGATATGGTTGCAGCAACACTCACTGCATTCTGGGCCAACTCTTTCACTGTCCCTCTGCCACTATTTCTCCCAGTATGACCCCTGGTTGCATTTCATGTCTAATTTCTTAAACATTTCTCAAAACCCCATCCAAATTTTCCATTGTGGTGTCCACATCCTGTTTGTGAGATTTAAAAAGGTGTGCCTGACACCAACCGCTCAGAGAGAGTAAATACCAAACACTCCTACATCATCCTGCTTTTAGAAACAGACACCTGCTGAACTGCTGCCTGGCCAACCAGGAACAAAACAGACTGAGTACGCAATCCTAATGAGTCATCTGAGCATACGCCATAGATACTTATAGGATCAGATTTACTCAACGATTGCACTAGTTCAAAGTTTGCACATGGGCCCGTATTCATAAAGAATCTTAGGAGTTCTGATCTAGGATCAAGACCCCTCTCTAAAAGGCTAAACTGATCCTAGATCAGCGATATTACTCTGAGACGGTTTATGAATATGGGCCCCAATATCTACTGGTAAAGGTCATGTCACGCCCTGGCTCTGGGGACTCTTATATGTTGAGCCAGGGTGTGGATTGTCCATGTTGTATTTTCTATGTTATGTTCTAGATCATGTAGATCTATGTTGGCCAGGGTGGTTCCCAATCAGAGGCAGCTGATTCTCGTTGTCTCTGATTGGGAACCATACTTAGGCAGCCGTTTGGGCAGTTGTGTTTTGTGGGATCTTGTTCCGTGTTGGTTTGTTTGGTAACCGAGGACTTCACGTTTCGTTTTGTTGTTTTTGTTTGTGTGGTGAATATAATAAAAGATATACGTATTCCACGCTGCGCCTTGGTCTACTCCTTTTGACGATCGTGACAGAAGATCCCACCAATACTGGACCAAGCAGCGTGTTTCGGAGCTAATGCCGGGTAAGGAGATGGAGAAGTTGGCGATGGCCCAGGTGGGCCAATGGTGGTCCTGGGAGGACATGTTCGAGGGCAGAGGACCATGGGCAAAGGTTAAAGCCTTGGCGAGAGAGGAGGTACGGCGCCAACAGTGTCGTCGTCGGACAGGCGAGAGGCAACCCCAAGAAATGTTTAGGGGGGGGGCACATGGCATGGACGACGGGGCTGCTGGAGGCAGATAAGGGGCGAGTTTGTGGACGAGGAGAGAAGGCCACCGGGTTACGGGAGCCATTGGTGATTAGAGGGAGGGAAAGTGTAGAGGCACGGCGAGAGGTACTGAAGTGTGTTGCCAGTCCGGTCCGGCCCGTTCCTGATCCCCGTATAAGGCCAGTGGTGTGTGTTCCCAGTGCGGTCCGGCCTGTTCCTGTCCCTCGCACCAAGCCTGTGATGCGCGTCGCCAGCCCGGCCCGGCCTGTTCCTGCCCCTCGCACCAAGCCAATGGTGCGCGTTACCAGCCCGGCCCGGCCTGTTCCTGCTCCTCGCACCAAGCCTATGGTGCGCGTCGCCAGCCCGGCCCGGCCCGTTCCTGCTCCCCGCACCAAGCCAATGGTGCGCGTCACCAGCCCGGCCCGGCCTGTTCCTGCCCCTCGCACCAAGCCAATGGTGCGCGTCGCCAGCCCGGCCCGGCCTGTTCCTGCCCCTCGCACCAAGCCAATGGTGCGCGTCGCCAGCCCGGTCCGGCCCGTTCCTGCTCCCCGCACCAAGCCAGTGGTGCGCGTCGTCAGCCCGGTCCGGCCCGTTCCTGCTCCCCGCACCAAGACAGTGGTGCGCGTCGTCAGCCCGGTCCGGCCCGTTCCTGCTCCCCGCACCAAGCCAGTGGTGCGCGTCGCCAGCCCGGTCCGGCCCGTTCCTGCTCCCCGCACCAAGCCAGTGGTGCGCGTCGTCAGCCCGGTCCGGCCCGTTCCTGCTCCCCGCACCAAGCCAGTGGTGCGCGTCGTCAGCCCGGTCCGGCCCGTTCCTGCTCCCCGCACCAAGCCAGTGGTGCGCGTCGTCAGCCCGGTCCGGCCCGTTCCTGCTCCCCGCACCAAGCCAGTGGTGCACGTCGTCAGTCCGGCACGGCCCGTCAGCTGCTCCACTGCGGAGCCAGAGCAATCCGCTCCACCGGTGTCCAGTCCAGCTCCGGCCAGCGGGACCAGACCAGGGGCGCTACGGGGGGGTAGCGAGAGGGTGGTGGTCACGCCCGGAGCCGGATCCGCCTCCGAGGCGGAATGCCCACCCGGTCCCTCCCCTGTTGGTTTTGGTTGGCGCGGTCGCAGTCCGCGCCTTTGGGGGGGGGGGGGGGGGGTACTGTCACGCCCTGGCTCTGGGGACTCTTATATGTTGAGCCAGGGTGTGGATTGTCTATGTTGTATTTTCTATGTTATGTTCTAGATCATGTAGATCTATGTTGGCCAGGGTGGTTCCCAATCAGAGGCAGCTGATTCTCGTTGTCTCTGATTGGGAACCATACTTAGGCAGCCGTTTGGGCAGTTGTGTTTTGTGGGATCTTGTTCCGTGTTGGTTTGTTTGGTAACCGAGGACTTCACGTTTCGTTTTGTTGTTTTGTTAGTTGTGTAATTACTCTAATAAAAGATGTACGCATTCCACGCTGCGCCTTGGTCTTCTCCTTTTGACGATCGTGACAGGTCAATAAAAGATTGTGAGAATTAACAGCCTTACAGCAAGTATACAAAACACAGGTGCAAACTTTGCACTGGTGCAAACGCTTAATAAATCTGTCCTTGTGCCTTTCAATGCACTGCATGGTCTGAGAATTCAGAAATCTTGAATATTTTCACAATGCCTTTTTACTAAGCAGGTGATTGGCTAAGAGGCTGACCTCAATTTACCCTTGACAGCGAACCATAGAAGGTTATTTGAGTCCATGTGAGAATCAAGTCTGGTTTGCTACACAATTAATTTACTATTGTTTTTACTTTGACTCTCACTGTTATAAAACATTTGTCTCAATATATACAGTTGAAGTCGGAAGTTTACATACACCTTAGCCAAATACATTTAAACTCAGTTTTTCACAATTCCTAACATTTAATCCTAGTAAATATTCCCTCTCTTAGGTCAGTTAGGATCACCACTTTATTTTAAGAATGTGAAATGTCAGAATAATAGTAGAGAGAATGATTTATTTCAGCTTTTATTTCTTTCATCACATTCCCAGTGGGTCAGAAGTTTACATACACTCAATTAGTATTTGGTAGCATTGCCTTTAAATTGTTTAACTTGGGTCAAACGTTTCGGGTAGCCTTCCACAAGCTTCCCACAATAAGTTGGGTGAATTTTGGTCCATTCCTCCTGACAGAGCGGGTGTAACTGAGTCAGGTTTGTAGGCCTCCTTGCTCACACACGCTTTTTCAGTTCTGCCCACAAATGTTCTATAGGATTGAGGTCAGGGCTTTGTGATGGCCACTCCAATACCTTGACATTGTTGTCCTTAAGCCATTTTGCCACAACTTTGGAAGTATGCTTGGGGTCATTGTCCATTTGGAAGACCCATTTGCGACCAACCTTTAACTTCCTGACTGATGTCTTGAGATGTTGCTTCAATATATCCACATAATTTTTCTTCCTCATGATGCCATCTATTTTGTGAAGTGCACCAGACCCTCCTGCAGCAAAGCACCCCCACAGCATGATGCTGCCACCCCCGTGCTTCACGGTTGGGATGGTGTTCTTCGGCTTGCAAGCAACCCCCTTTTTCCTCCAAACATAACGATGGTCATTATGGCCAAACAGTTCTATTTTTGTTTCATCAGACCAGAGGACATTTCTCAAAAAGTACGATCTCTATCCCCATGTGCAGTTGCAAACCGTAGTCTGGCTTTTTTATGGCGTTTTTGGAGCAGTGGCTTCTTCCTTGCTGAGCGTCCTTTCAAGTTCTGTCGATATAGGACTCGTTTTACTGTGGATATAGATACTTTTGTACATGTTTCCTCCAGCATCTTCACAAGGTCCTTTGCTGTTGTTCTGGGATTGATTTGCACTTTTCGAACCAAAGTACGTTCATCTCTAGGAGACAGAGCGCGTCTCCTTCCTGAGCGGTATGACGGTTGCGTGGTCCCATGGTGTTTATACTTGCGTACTATTGTTTGTACAGATGAAAGTGGTACCTTCAGGCGTTTGGAAATTGCTCCCAAGGATGAACCAGACCTGTGGAGGTCTACAAAAAAATGTCGGAGGTCTTGGCTGATTTCTTTTGATTTTCCCATGATGTCAAGCAAAGAGGCACTGAGTTTGAAGGTAGGCCTTGAAATACATCCACAGGTACACTGCCAATTGACTCAAATGATGTCAATTATCCTATCAGAAGCTTCTAAAGCCATGACATCATTTTCTGGAATTTTCCAAGCTGTTTAAAGGCACAGTCAACTTAGTGTATGTAAACTTTTGACCCACTGGAATTGTGATACAGTGAATTATAAGTGAAATAATCTGTCTGTAAACAATTGTTGGAAAAATTACTTGTGTCATGCACAAAGTAGATGTCCTAACCGATTTGCCAAAACTATAGTTTGTTAACAAGAAATGTGTGGAGTGGTTGAAAAAACAAGTTTTAATGACTCCAACCTAAGTGTATGTAAACTTCCGACTTCAACTGTATATTATGTTTGAATAAGTATCTAAACCTATGTGCAGTATCTGTTGCCACAATAAGGGAATTACATAATTCCAGACACAAAATAACATGTGGCTAAGTTAAGTGCTCAAAGTAACTGAATTCATCCATCCCCATTATAAGTCCTGACAAACCTCAGGTTATTCTAGAGAGCAGTGTGGTGTGAGAGGAAGTCACATTTGT